GGGGGGCGCAGAGACACGACGCTTGCGGTCGGTAGGCGGGTTGGGCATACTGCTGGTGCCTGGCTGCGAAGTGGGCTGCGACGAGTTTTGCGCAGGCGTACCACCTGCATTCCTCTTCGATCGTGTCTGCACTTTGTTGAGGCCGACATCGTAGTGGTGGTGGTAATGGTGGTGGTGGGTGAGCATGCCAGAGTGATTGCGGAAAGATATGGAGAGTCCGTGGTGGGGAGAGCAGGAGCTGAGCAGGAGGCGAATGCACTTCCAATTGCGTCTACCGGCCCGGGCATAGTCCATTGAACTCCGCCACTGCTCACTTTCTGATCCTTTCTACAGGACAGGACCGTTACGGGCCAGATCCTCTATTGAGGTGACGGTGTTGCAGCACCTCGATAGATCAACATGCGACGGAGCTCGACAGTTTTCTCATTTTGGAAACATTGACCGCAGCCTCTTGCAGACTGCGTTGATGCTTGTGGGTCTGGGTTTTGTCGGTCTGAGTTTTTTCGGACATGATGGTCGAGGAAGAGACGACTGGGAAAGCTGACCTAATTTGACCTAAGTCACATGACTTAGATCGAAATTACTGTCCTGATACAACCTTCTCTTCACGGCCGGTGACGCATGACATCTGTGAAGAGATTTGCAACTCTTCAAACTTGGACTGGACGCATGACAGAAGCCAAATGTCTTCGAGAAGTTGGACAGAATATTTCCATTTATGGCATGCCCGAACGCCCCGCAGGGACCGAAAATTTGGTCACTCTTCAAATTGCCTCGAGACGCGTGACATTTCTCAAGATCTCTTCTCTTCAAAGCTCTTCGTGATGCGTGACACCGGGCCAGCCCGGGCCCCATGTCCCCATGAAGCTGGCCACCTTGCAGACACTCAAGAACACTCGGATTGCGGCTGTCCCTTTCATTATACCTGCAGAACTCCATGGCATTCAATCAACTCAAGCCCAGAGGAACTAGAAGCGCACCTTCACTGACGCGGTAAATCCATCCAGGATGTGCGATGATCGTGCGGATCATATTCTCCTTAAGTACGAACACCAGCGGCTGCGATCTCTCTGTCGCAATTCATGTGCGCCACATCCGCACCGAACTTCACAAGGTCGAACCCTATGTCGCTGTACTGTGGGATGGCCGACTTCTCGATGAACTCTCCACACGCTTTGTCGTGTATGATCCTGAGGCCAGAGACGTGGATGTACAGAGGTGGATCGCCGGGGTTGGCAGCCAATTGTTTGGTCAGGCCAGCAAGAACTGCTGGCATTGGTGTCATCCCGACAGGCGCTGCATGGAAGGACGAATAAACTCACCCAAGACACTGGCAGGGTGGTTGGAGCTCACGCAGTTCACGACATACTTTGCCTTTTCTGCTTCCCCTCAATGACCTCTTTATCTTCCAACGTGCCCTCAACCGCCTCCAGGTTCTCATAGATTTCCCTCAGTTGCCTGAGCTTCTTACCCTCAGGATCGAGGTTCTGAACAAGTGCAACAACATGGTATCCAAGCGACTTGCACCCAAGCAGAACAAGAAACTGCAAGCCTAGGTACCCCATTGCATCAAGGACGAAGATGGTTTTCTGGCGGTCTGTGGTTGTTGCCATTGTCATTGATATTGACATCAAAAGGAACCCTCAGGCTCTTTCAATTATCTATCTAGATGCTGCTCCGCAAGTGGCACTCGGCAAAGGCCTCGTTCCTGCGTTGCCCCTCTGAGCAGAGCCATGATGTTATGTTGAGCACAAGACCGAGAATGTCGGAGAGTATACATGTCATGTCTATTGAATTCATGTGTGGTAAGCATCCTCGTGCCCTCCAATACATTTTTTAAGTAGCTCTGTCTTCCTTTTCTCTCTCGTGATATACAGCCCTGAAGGAAGTCTGAAGAACAACTCAAAGAATCGGGTAACCTACCCTTCTTCACATTCAGCTCTGCCAGTGGAGTCTGAAGAATATCAACTCTGTTGTCACCACAAGTAGTATGAACTTTTGCAGTTCGTCCTGTTCATATTTTCAGAGGTCCGAGTGTAGGAGCATTTGAGTCTAGCAGCTCCCATCTTGCCTAGCACTTGGGAATCAATTGCAACTTCCATACCCTTCCTCGCCTTCGTTGGTGCTTGTCATCCTTTTGGTACACATGGTGATGCACAATCCTCTATAAGGTGATGTCCTGGTCACAGGGCCTGTTACACCCTTGTCATGTCACATTTCTTGAGACAGTGCCTTCCTCTGCTGCACAACAATCCTACGGAGATTTATTCATGTGGAATATGTAGTATAATACATTGTAAAAATTGCTATCAGAGTGAAAAATTAAAATACTAAGCTCATCTAACAAAAAAGTCCATTGACTGCACAATCCCTGCCAAATTGGCCATCAAACAGTGCACAGCCCATAACTTTGTGAGGACAAAGATTTGCGACTTGTGTTAGTGGGAAGAAATGTTTGGAATCAAATATAATAAAAGTGAGCTGTTTTTTCTCATGGGGACAAACGTAAGAGACAAAGACACGCTCTGATTGGCTGATATATGCAACTGGTGATGGGACGTGCAGCATCCTGGATATCCTGGGTGGTATGCAACTGGAAGGCGTCACTCTACATTGGACCATGTTAACAGGCACTAGGCGCCAAGGAAACCACCAGTTTTGAAGTGTCCTGGAGGGCTATTTCTTTGGCACATCACAAATATGGTAATGCCCCTATTCACAGTATCTGAAAAGAGACTTCAAGTTGAATTGAACTAAATATTTTATGGTTCAAATGATTCATGCAGGTGCTTGGAGAAGAGTTTGAGCTTGATCAGCAAAAATGGCACTGATTGTGAGAAGCAAGGAGGGTATTTGCCATGGGATGCCTGGGCCACAAGGAGCCAACTGCAGGTTGGTGACAAGCAGCAGGACAATTCTCATAATTTCAAGAAATAAGATTCCACTCTGCACTAACTCGCACAACTGTAACATGCTGGGCAGTGCAGCTACTCAGTTAAATGGGTGGTAAAAAAAGGTCAGGACACCCCCTAGCAGGCGAATGACCACTTTGATTACCAGCCAGTGGGCCTGTACCAGAACTGGCAATTCTATGGAGGATTTTTTCCAGTTCTACTTTATATTCAGAAATAATCTAACGCTGAATTGCTATGAAACCCATGTGCAAAGCACAGGTCACTTGTTAGTCATAATATAAAGAGTGCTATCAGAGCAGAATTTTTATTTATAGTGTTTAAGTATGAAATACCCTTGTTGGTAGGGCAATTTAAGATACTTACTCAACAGATATAAAAAATCTGTTCTGATAGAGCTCTTTATAATTTTTTAAAAATCACTTTCTTCTTATGTAGTAAGTCCTCAATCATCAAAATTGACAAGTTATGAGGTGGGCAAGGGATCATATGAAGGATCTTGTTATTCTCATTTATTAATATTCAGAAGCAATAAAGGTATTTAAAATCTGTATATACTGAGTCATTGTCTCATTGTGTACAAGTTTTAGTATTGAAGGTTGTGCAAAGATGAAGTCATTGGCTCGCAATCGAACCAAAGGGGTGGAATTAGTGGAGTGCACAGCCACCAAGCCACAGCCACCAAGCCTGTGCACTCCAATCACTAATTCCACCCCTTTGGCACTTGATTGCAAGCCAATGACTTCATCTTTGCACAACCTTCAATACTAAAACTTGTACACAATGAGACAATGACTCAGTATATACAGATTTTAAATACCTTTATTGCTTCTGAATATTAATAAATGAGAATAACAAGATCCTTCATATGATCCCTTGCCCACCTCATAACTTGTCAATTTTGATGATTGAGGACTTACTACATAAGAAGAAAGTGATTTTTAAAAAATTATAAAGAGCTCTATCAGAACAGATTTTTTATATCTGTTGAGTAAGTATCTTAAATTGCCCTACCAACAAGGGTATTTCATACTTAAACACTATAAATAAAAATTCTGCTCTGATAGCACTCTTTATATTATGACTAACAAGTGATCTGTGCTTTGCACATGGGTTTCATAGCAATTCAGCGTTAGATTATTTCTGAATATAAAGTAGAACTGGAAAAAATCCTCCATAGAATTGCCAGTTCTGGTACAGGCCCACTGGCTGGTAATCAAAGTGGTCATTCGCCTGCTAGGGGGTGTCCTGACCTTTTTTTACCACCCATTTAACTGAGTAGCTGCACTGCCCAGCATGTTACAGTTGTGCGAGTTAGTGCAGAGTGGAATCTTATTTCTTGAAATTATGAGAATTGTCCTGCTGCTTGTCACCAACCTGCAGTTGGCTCCTTGTGGCCCAGGCATCCCATGGCAAATACCCTCCTTGCTTCTCACAATCAGTGCCATTTTTGCTGATCAAGCTCAAACTCTTCTCCAAGCACCTGCATGAATCATTTGAACCATAAAATATTTAGTTCAATTCAACTTGAAGTCTCTTTTCAGATACTGTGAATAGGGGCATTACCATATTTGTGATGTGCCAAAGAAATAGCCCTCCAGGACACTTCAAAACTGGTGGTTTCCTTGGCGCCTAGTGCCTGTTAACATGGTCCAATGTAGAGTGACGCCTTCCAGTTGCATACCACCCAGGATATCCAGGATGCTGCACGTCCCATCACCAGTTGCATATATCAGCCAATCAGAGCGTGTCTTTGTCTCTTACGTTTGTCCCCATGAGAAAAAACAGCTCACTTTTATTATATTTGATTCCAAACATTTCTTCCCACTAACACAAGTCGCAAATCTTTGTCCTCACAAAGTTATGGGCTGTGCACTGTTTGATGGCCAATTTGGCAGGGATTGTGCAGTCAATGGACTTTTTTGTTAGATGAGCTTAGTATTTTAATTTTTCACTCTGATAGCAATTTTTACAATGTATTATACTACATATTCCACATGAATAAATCTCCGTAGGATTGTTGTGCAGCAGAGGAAGGCACTGTCTCAAGAAATGTGACATGACAAGGGTGTAACAGGCCCTGTGACCAGGACATCACCTTATAGAGGATTGTGCATCACCAAGTACACATGAGGAAGTAAATTGCCACGCTTCATCATGTCATTTCTCCTGAACTGTCAACGTCTGAACGTTTGACCAGTTCAAGACTTGAAGCTTGAAGCTTCAAAAGTCTCGGTGACATGTCAGTAGAGTCTATTCTATCTCACTTTACAGACAGGTTATTCATAGCACATGGTCTTTATATGAAGCAAATCCCAAGAAACTATACGGGTAGCTCGGTGTTGTCTTCTCCCATACAACTGATGGTCGGGTGAAATCCATCCGAAAACGGTGCGTCTTTCGTCATGATGCTCGCAGACCGTTCCCAGAATATTCAAAAGACCCTTTGTTCACAGTTGTCTTCGACTTCCACGGCGTTGGAATCTCCTTCCCGAGCAGCGTCTTCAAGATGAACGACCTGCCCCCTGGAATTGTCTACCTCGCCCAAAGGCTTCCAAGGCTCGTACTGCCTCCCACCGTTGCCTACGCTCTTGTCCGGATTCTCAGCTCAACATACGATACCGATGTCCCCCTGTGGTTCCTCACTCTGGCTATGGTTTTCAGCCTACCCTTGGCCTTGACCATTGAAGTGCAATATGACCAATATCGAGTTTATCGGGACGCCAGTCGACTCGGAGCAATGCTTCCCCCTACGATACCCGATCCATATCCTGGAGGCATTTCTGGTCTGTTTGCTGCAACGAAGGCATTTAAGACGGGTTATCCAGGCACGTGTCGTTTCACGATACGCTTTGAACGATTTCTGAATTCTAGCGGCGTGAGCAGCTGATGGGATAGACAATTTGTGTGAGAAGGCCGGGGGGTACACTTTCAACCGAAGGGTCTTGTTCGAAAACAGGGTGAATGAGGCTACATGCATTCCTATGATCTCTATTCAACCCAAGAACAGATTATCACTGCAGAACCAGAGCATATCAAGGTTTGGATTCCGTGAATCGAGAAGAACATTCGTCTGATATTGAAACAACAGGCGATACTAGCAACGCAATTCGACGAGTTTGAGAAAGGCGAGGAGTTCCGATCCGTCGTCTTCCCGCTACTAGGAACCGGGGTGTTTGCCGTAGATGGTCCGTTATCCTTTCCTTCTCTCCTTAGGTCCTGCTGAAATTCATTCAGGTAATCTATGGAAGTACGTCCCTCAACCATCCAATTGATGTTGATTTCCCGATCCACGCTCCCAGATTCCACCGCTCCATGACCCGCCCCTTCTTCAGCCGCGACCGCATCAGCCACTTCGACATCTTTGACCGACACGCGGACGCTGCCATCCAGCAACTCAAGAACCGCTTCCACCAAGGCCACCCCGTCGACTTCCAGGATCTCGTCGCACGCTTTACGCTCGACTCTGCCACCGAATTCTTACTGGGCAACGACGTCAAGTCGCTCTCAGGCGACATTCCGTACCCGTACTACGTCACGCTGCCAGAGTCTGCCCTGGCCAAGCAAGCAGACCTCCCTGCGGCACGATTTTGGAACGCGCTGTCGGAGGCCCAGTCAATTACGTCGTATCGGACGCGCTTTGGGACTCATTGGCCTCTGGTGGAGTTTTGGCATGATAAACTGAAGGGACCGATGAAGGTTGTCTATGGTTTCGTTGACCCAATTGTCGTCGAAGCCATCAAGCACAAGAGGGAAATGGAGGGGAAGATCGAGAAGGACAGGGACGATGAGACGCTTCTGGAGAACCTGGTTAACGAGACAGAAGGCAAGCATTATTATTCTTAGACCCTTTGAACGGATTTTTAACCTCTCTGTAGACCCCATCACCCTGCGAGACGAAATCATGTCACTGCTCGTCGCAGGACGCGATACGACGGCCAGCTTGCTCACTTTCACAATCTATATGCTAGCCGAGCACCCAGAGGTTCTTACGAGACTACGAAAGGAAATATTGGAGAAGATCGGTCCTCACAGACGGCCTACGTACGACGACTTCCGTGAAATGAAGTACCTTAAGGCCGTCCTCAATGGTAGGCTATTCGCAGGGTTTGATGATAGCCAACATGTCTGACGTTCTCGGTTGCGCTAAGAAACCTTGAGGTTGTACCCTCCTGTTCCATTCAATCTCCGGTAGGCGTGGTCCTTGCCCTTGAGTGGAAACATCTGAACTGACACTCCCCAGAACGTCGAACCAGGGAACGACGTGGCCAAATAAGCAACCCGGCGGCAAGCCGTTCTATATCCCCCCCAACACACGGTAAGCAGAAGACGGAATATTCTTCTGGGGCACGATTTACCAGAAACTAGGACACCGTACGTTGTCTTCATGATGCACCGGCGCAAAGATCTCTGGGGTCCAGATGGTCAGTCTCTCTGCATAATCATTCTGAGCACTACATGGTGCTGACCCCCAATCCTTCCAGCTTTCGAATTCGACCCTGATCGCTTCCTCGACGAGCGCCTGCACAAATACCTCACCCCCAACCCGTTCATCTTCCTCCCATTCAATGCCGGTCCGCGCATCTGCCTCGGACAGCAGTTCGCGTACCACGAGGCCTCGTTCTTCCTCGTCCGGCTCTTCCAGGCGTTCTCGACCGTCGCCCTCGTGCCCGAAGCACAGCCGCCTGACTCGCGTGCACCGGCGGTGTGGAAGGAAGATAAGGAGGGGAGGAAGGGTAGGGAGAAGATCAGGCCGAAGACACATTTGACGATGTATGTTCAGGTGAGTAGTTGAAGTCCTTGTGGAAAATACACTCGATTTTGATGGGATTTTGGTTGGATAGGACGGGTTGTGGGTTACAATGCGCGAGGTCAGGACAGCTGAGGAACCCTAAAGCCAACCCTGACTCCATTTTACTGGGCCGCATGTCATTCCTCCCGCTGGCACCCTGGATATAGGCCGGAATTTTTTGTTTATCATCTATGAATCTGAGGAGCACCTACTGTCACCTGTATCATGTACCATAGCATGTACACACCCCCGTATATTTATTCCCGAGCTCGCGCAAGGGTGGGCCAACTTTCCTCAATTATGAGCTGGAGGTGCCTCGAAAACCAATAAATTAAACCCCATGTAGTGTGGGCACAATAGAGACAGCGAAGCAGCTGTCTGTAGCCGAGAGAGAACACTCATGCACCTACGACCTCAATCACTATCGCTGCTATCACTATCACTACTCTTATCATCATCCGTGCTGCTCTCATCGTCGCTGCTCTCCTCCTTGCGCTTCTTGACCGGCTGGCCCTTCATCGCCGCCATCTGGCCTGCAAGACTGTCCTCGTCCGGCTCCGAGATTTCGTCTTCCGACGGCGCGTCCTCGACGACGGGTGGGTCCTCCATCTTCAGCGTGATCTCGCGCACGGCCTCCTCGCCGACGAAGGTGTCACTGACGACGTACACTTTCCATGTGAAGAGACCAGTGTTAGGCGGCCCTTGGAACTGCATCTTGTATGAGCGGTAGTCGCGTTCGTGAGGACCAGCACCAGGGCGGGCATAGGGGATGTCGGTGATCTTCATGGGTGGGACAACAATGCGGTTGGATTTGTCGTCTGCGAGAACGATCCACCAAGAGGGTTTGCGAGTCTGTCAGAGTGAGTATAAGACCTTTGTACTCATGAAAAGTAAAACAGCGAAGTGTAGACATACGCCAGGCCAGTAAGGTGCATGCGCGCTCGAGTTGGCTTCCTTCGCCTGAGCAGGCGAGAGCTCTGCTGCGTCCAGTCGGCTCTCAAGGAATTTCTCGTCAATCTTCTCATTCTGCAGGAGAAGCTTCTTGGTCTCGTCTACGCTCAGATCCTTGGGTTCGATGTCCTTGTTCGCGCCGGGGGGTGTTATCCGTAGCTTGACGAGCAGGTAAATGATTGAAGAGGGTGCAATGACAGCCTCGCCGATAACTAGCAGAGAACAATAGGTTACACGTGGAAAAACGAAAACGAAAGATAGGAAAGACGCACCTTTGAATGCAGCATCGACGATCTCCACCCTGCCCCATTTCTCCATCGCCTTCCTCACATCACTCGCCCGGCCATCCTCCTTCGCCTCGAGCTCAAACAGCAAGTCACTCATATCCCGCACCTTGCCGTCCTTCTCGCTGCGCTCCTTGGCTTTCTCCGCGAATTTGGCCACATCTTCGGTCGTGATACCTGGTAGCTGGGTAAAGCGCATCTTGTCGGAGGCGTTGGGTGGGAGAGCTTGCGCTAGGAAGGCGTACAAGCGGATGATGGTCAGTGTTGGCATGAGCCATGTGCGCACAATCGACACATTAAGGAGAGCGTTCAGCAGGAGAGGTGTTTGTAGGAGGACCTCCTTTTGCTCTGTGTACCAAGTTAGTACATGGAACAGATCGAGAAAATAGGTAAACGTACGCTTCTTCAGTCCAGCATCTTTGATCTCTAGCCTCAACAAGTGCGCGTACAATAGCACGAGCGCGCGTTTCCTCGCCTCGTGTAGCTTCCCGTCATAATCCACCGCGACTTTCCTGACCTCTGTCCATTTAGCACCAAGCTTCTCCGTGATCGTCTTCTCTAATGTGTCGAGCTCCGCGGTAGACTTGGTCTTGGATGCGTCGAGTTCCCACTGATATGCCTTCCCAAGCGCGCCGACAACGTCTTCCATACCCGACTCCTCCTTCAACGTCTTAAAGAACGCCGCAGCGCTTTGTGCATAGATGCCGTCTTTCGTCTTCTGGCGATTGCCAAACCACCATCGACCCTGCACATGTGTAAGCGTTGTCTGGGGGGTACGGAAAGAGAGGAAATAACACGTACGACCAACGCAGGGAGCGCACCGCCGAACACGAGCCCGTAAACACCGAGAACCCAGATGTTGTTCTTGCCCTCGATAATCCACTTGGGAAGCGCAATACCCATCGATGTCGTCTGAGGTCCGTCGGGATTGTTGTACTTCTGCCAGTTCTCCTTGATGCGTTCGTCTGTCAACCTATGGGCGTGCGGATGATTAGCGGTGAGCGTGGCGCGAATACACTGAACGCCTACGATTTGTAGGCCTTGGTGATCTGGACGAAACGTTCTTGAATCATCTCAATGGTCATGTTAGCAGTAGCTTTGACTTTGTCGGGGTGGCTAGTTTGGAGGTGGGTACACGCGTCATAGGGCAAGGTAGAGTGGCACTTACTACACCCGAGAAAGCTTCTTGAAGTGCGATTTGATCTCCTTGTCTGGTGTGCTCTTTTGAAGCTGTCAGAGAAAGTTGTTGCACTACAGCAGTTGCACATACACTTGCGATGCCCAGAATCTCGAATGGGTTGTAGATTTTGTTCTCCACTTTCAAAAGCGACACCCGGTAGCAGACGAAGGCGAACAGGGACCACCCTCCAACGAGGAAGTATGTTCTAGGGAAGCTGATTTAATGTTATAAAGTATAGACAAGCAGCCTGCATACCTCCTGCTAAGGTTTGGATTAAGAATCGACCCCCGCTCCTGCTTTTGTACAATCTTCCGTTGTTCGATACATGGTGTACATTGGCATCCGTCGGATACGGCTTTGTCTTTGTAACCTATTCAGCCCTGTCATCTTCTGCAATAAATAATCTACGCACCTGGGCGCTTTAACAGCGCCGAAACCGTCAATGGCACGAGCACCAAAGCGAGAAATGTGATAAGAAAGTACGCGGCCATAACCCCGGCCTCGTCATATTCGTATGCAGCCATCGTGGCTGGCTTTTAGCGTGCAAGTCGTTCCGGTGACGATGTGGTTATATAAGTGTGTAATTGGGTATTCTGAAGAATAAGTGGCCAAGTGAGCGTGCGGAAGAAAGAAAAAGGAGGAAGTTAAGGAAAGTACATCGACGTGTCCGGTGAGCTGGCGAAATGGAAAGTGGGCGTGACATACTCGTGCTGTTACATATGATGTCACTCATACTGACGTCACACGATGCGCCCTTTTCCCAAAACCACCACCAGGACCTGCAGTGGCGCCACGACTGGAGACATCCTCCACCCTGGCGATATCTGTCACGCAAGAGAGCCATATTTTATACAACATACTTACGGATGATTCCAAAACTTCGTCGCCCTCAAATTTCTTTCAACTGGTACCGCAATTGAAGACCTTCTTAAACTTAAGAACCGGATGTCGAAGGTTGAGCATCGCACAGCTGTCTCTGTCTGAATTGGTTTCATGATGTTCGCAAAGCGGTACCATTGTCGACCCGGAAGCCCTTACCCCAGGTCTGCGTACTGGGCGCTGTTGATAGGACTGGGGCAGAACCTTAAGCTTAAGCTTCGAACCCTTGATTCCGAACAGGACACATACAGCGACTAAAGATACAAAAACTCCTCGACGCGTCTTGTTACCTCTTGAAATCAACCTCGAAAATGCCTTCAAAAGAATCGCAGAGGCTCCAATCATCAGTCTTCTCGTATCCCAGCGCTGGATGACCCCATCAAAGCAGGCTGAACGCTCATTTAGCAGGTCTTACGAATACCCCCAAGACATTATTGACCTTAGAGCCATCGATACGTTAGTCCTTCAGGTGGACTCACGCTACGAGCACGTTGTCTTGTTGGGAGTCCGCAATTCCGCCTCTCGTTCTTTCCATACCTGCGTTCGCGTTCGTCTCTTCAAGGGCATAGAAATTCGAGTCGACAACATCATTCAAAAGCGGTCCCTGAACCCCATCAGCACCTTAAGCTCCACCTCCTACTCCAGCGCATCCAATCTCCATCATTTTCACCCTTTCACCACCCGACAGTTACCGAAGCAAAGTCCGACATGCTGCACAAAAATGGAAATTGTGGCGATATAGCCTCAATAAGCTCCTCCGTTCGTTCCTCGGGATCCATCCCAAAATCTTGGTTTTGAAGGCGGTGCCGGTGACGCAGGATTCCTTTCCGAGATCCAGCGAGGTTCTGCCTCCCTTTTCCATGCCTTCCCTTTAGGTCCCGTGCATCAGCGATTTCATAGGGTTCCCGATATCTTCCATCCGTGACAGCCCCAATACCACCAATATGCAGCATTTTATGTTCCATAGCAGCTATCTGGATGCGATTTTCTTAGAGGGTGCACTGTACATCTCAGATCTTCCTTTAAATCAAACCAGGCAACCTCGGTCCCGGTCAAGATTGAAGACCCTCAACATGACGACCCATATCGAACAGGATAGGCTCGGTTATATATGTAATATGTATAACCACCCCCCTAGATTCCCACCTCCAGTGTTCTTGCTCCCTTCACCAACTTCAACATCTTAATCCCTCTGATTCATGTTCAGAGCAGAAGCCTTCCCTCAGCACAGTTACAACATTGCGGACTTCAACCACATCGCAAACTTTCTTCCCTCAACCTCTTCCCCGCATCCAGGCCTGCACTCCATCGAGCTCTCCGTTCACTCTGTGATCCCAGAGGGTTAGCCAACCCTTCGTCCGCTAGCAGAGCTTTGGCAGGGTGGAACACCAAAAACCACCGGAAAGGAAGACCTCGACGAGGCGTTGTACCCGGGCTTGCAATCAGTTGTTGCAAGGACGTTGAGATGGTAATGGGAAGCAAGAAAGCTGCTGTCGTCTACCACATGCGCCGTCTCTCCGGCGCTTGTATTTCTGCGTAAATACCACATGTAACACGCAGCCACTTTTTCACCAGGATGTATATTTTCTGAAGGATTAAACCTATCGAAGGAGTCTTCTACGTATTCGACGAATTGGCATCATCAAAATTGTCGCTTCTCGGGCTGTCCTACCGGATCAGTGGGAATCTAATGTACCAGTTCCAGGTCTCGCATTCGTCAGAGCGTCGGTGGGTATATATATCTCCGAGTCCTGTATACTCAGCGGAAAGTTTGATATCCGAGAATGCGGCCCCGGGCAATGATTCCAAGAAATGAAAGACCCTTGTAGATTTCCTGTACATCACTCCGATAACGCGAGATTTTACACGGCGTGATTGGGGGGCAGAGTAAATCGGATTGAACTCGGGGTTCCCAAGGTGAGCCAGTTCGCGAAGACGTGGTGCCACACGGCCCATCCTCATCGATGTCGTCGGTCGCCTCAATCCCCTTTTTTGTCCTATCCGTCGCGCCAACCGCGTGGATCTGGCTCAATGTAGGATAACGAACCAAGTGATCTTCTGGGTACCAGTATCGGCTTATAATACAACCCATGTTCCGGGATCGGCCACGGTGTGTGAAGGTTCTGAGCAGAGAAAAGTGAGCTATTTCCCAAAACGGACGAGCGGCTCGCCGCCGATTAGCGGCACGTGATAGATAATGACATCGGTATATAATCGCGGTTTTCCGTGAACGCCCTTCACCTTCTCCCCAACCTCCAATCCGTATCCTCAAAGACAACATGGGCATCCTTGATATTGTTCCCGTAAGTAATAAGAGTATTTGGAGAAGATGGGCGTTGTGATGGTGCTAATCACGGCTTGTAGGCTGGTGTGCTGACCGGCGACAACGTTCGCAAAGTCTTCGATTACGCAAAAGAGCACCAGGTATGAGGCATATTTCACTCGGAATACGCTCAGTGCTGACCGCCTAGTAAAGTTCGCCATTCCTGTGAGTTAGATTGCCTCACATTTGCACTGAGATGCTTAGTTCATGCAGGCTATCGTACGTTGCTCTAATTCCGCTTCCCGCGCGATGCATGAACTGACCAATTTGCCCGCAGAACGTGACTTCTACGTCCACCGCGAATGCGGTTCTGGAGGCGGCTCGGTATGGATCTCCGCCTACGCGATGTATTTTTCTTATCAATGAAAATGCAGTGACATCAAGTCCCCAATCATCATCCAAGTGTCGCAGGGTGGAAGTGCTTACTTTGCCGGCAAGGGTCTGCCCAATGACAAACAACAGGCGTCTATCGTCGGTGCTATCTCTGCTGCTCACCACGTCCGATTGGTGTCCAAGGCCTATGGCGTGTATGTCCTCAACATTCAACCGCTTGTTAATTATTCAAATGTTCTTCAGCCCTGTGATCATGCACAGTGATCATTGCGCTGAGAAGCTCCTGCCCTGGTTCGACGGTATGCTCGAGGCCGACGAGGCCTACTTCAAGGAGCACCAAGAACCCCTCTTCTCCTCGCACATGCTCGACCTCTCGGAGGAGTCCAAGGAGCACAACATCGCCACCTGCGTCAAGTACTTCAAGCGTATGGCGCCGATCGGTCTCTGGTTGGAGATGGAGATCGGCATTACCGGTGGTGAGGAGGACGGTGTCGACAACACGGGTGTCGACAATGCTGCTCTGTACACCCAGCCCCAAGACGTGTACGACGTGCATGCCGCCCTCAGCGCGATTGGTCCCAACTTCAGCATTGCAGCAGCCTTTGGAAACGTCCATGGTGTATACAAGCCTGGCAACGTCAAACTCCAACCCGAACTTCTGCAGAAGCACCAGCTCTACGTCGAGGAGCAGCTTAAGGTCAAGGGCACCAAGCCTCTGTACGTCTACTCGAGCCTTTTCGAGGGAACTCACATTAAGCGGTTTGTGCGCAGGTACCTGGTCTTCCACGGTGGATCCGGCTCCTCAAAAGAGGAGATCAAGACTGCCGTCGAGAACGGTGTCGTCAAGATGAACGTCGACACCGATACCCAATTCGCCTACCTCGTTGGTATCCGGGTAAGTACACAATCCTCTTCGACACTTTTATTGCTTACATCTTACGCCGCGTTCAGGACTTCGTCTTCAAGAAGAAGGATTACCTCCTGACCCAGGTCGGGAACCCCGATGGCGCGGACAAGCCTAACAAGAAGGTAGGCCCGGAGTTTACCCTGTTCCTGCTGAAGCTAACCTAAGGTATTCTACCTAGTTCTACGACCCCCGTGTATGGGTGCGTGAGGGCGAGAAGACGCTCGTCGAGCGCGTCAAGGAGGCGTGCAAGGACCTTGGAAATGTTGGGCGCCTATGATCGATTGACTGTAGATTTTGTGGATCCGATGCATTGATTGCGGACGTTTTGGGAAAGAATAAGTACAGTAGTGAAAGAAAAGTGTAGTCCTGTTGTTGTATAAAATATTGAATGCCTTTAGCTTGAAGATAAGAATATAAGTGGCCAGTTGGCGAGGAGGGAATTCCGTCTTCGTAGAAATACTTAGCACGTTCCTTCCCCAAGGAGAAAGAGGTGCTATGGACTGGGCAGGTTTTTTGAAGCACTCGTCGCTGACTTCTTAGCCAAAACAACCACAGAATCTTCGATGGAAACTTGTGCTTGATAGAGGGCGAGGACGCGATGAATCTCGACTGGGTCGATCATCGCACACATAATCTGCCTGAAGATGAGGTAGACAATGCATATATTGAGCTGTGTTGCAAGACCAAAGGGTCCACAGCTGTTGTAGAGAGACAAAACGAGGTCTGGGTTTGCGTGCAGCCATTGAATCGCTAGCCCAATCTGGGGACCTGTGGCAAGCAGGATTTCGGCCTCCAAAGCATCCCTGCAGACCCAGTTGAGAGCTAGGATTGGCAGGACCACAACTAGCGATGCGCTGAAAGAGAATCCGAAGATCTGCGCGAGCACAGGAATCGGCGAGCACCGTTCCACCACTCGGAGGTAGAAAGACGACTCGCTCGGCGGGTGAAAGCTGTAGCGTCTCATCCGCGTTTTCGACAGATGCGCGAAGATCACCGCTAACTGGAGGAGCCGCGCGTTGCAATACCCCAGTACCCCACATACCAACAGCGTCAGCCCAAATCGCTCCGGCCGTTCAGAGAGTGGCGTGTCCTTATTTACAGGTGGCTTTGCTTCCACACCGGGGATCACCTCCGTCCTTAGGAGCTTTGGGAACAAATAATGATCATTCTTCATAACCTGGCCATCTATTTCGATTTTGAGGCCGCTCGGGTCGGACTGCGGGTTGAGGGCTTGGACGACGGCCCACTGCGCAAGAGTGTGTCTGCAGAAGCGGATGGCATGCAAGAGGATGCCTGAACCGATGAGGGGTTCGATTTCTGCATCGTACGTGAATACGGAGGCTTCGATGAAGGATAGGGAGGCGATGAGGTGGGTGGTATGGGTGAATAGGCGGTGTAGGTGCGATCGACGAGTATGAGAGAGGGAGGAGGCCAGCGAGGGTGTCCAGATGTCAGAGAACCGCGGACAGGGACTTGATGGAGGAGCATAGAGGGTAAAGTAAGAACGGAGGGTAGACCGGAGGGTGTGCGTCCAAGGCGGAGGACGATCAAAGGGCAAAGATCGGGAAAGCTGTTCGATGCTTTCCAGGATGTCCAGGAAGGATTCGAGCGCGAGGATAGTGTCTCGCGTGTAAATCATGTTGCGGTGCTTCCGTGTGCTTCGAGAGATCTTCTTGAGGACGGTATACGCGTAGCGCTTCCACCTTCGCGTTAGTTGGAGGAAGTTCGTCGTCAGAAACGCGTCTCGAAAAGGCTTCGCTTCGGACAAGTGGTGCCCGACGTGGCTGAAATATGATATCAATCGATTGTGAGCGTAAAAGAATAAATAAAAAAACTCACGCAAAGGCGTATAACATCGGGTCGCGTTCCCTCATCGCCATTAGGCTCGTCAGAGTCTTGTGCTCCCAGTCCCTCGCGTAGGGCTCCTCTGCCTCCTGGATCAACCTCAGCCTTTCGACAGAATGCTGCACCCACTCCAATTTCAACATCCCCCAGTCCTCCCCGATATCCTGCACCTCAGCCACGAGGCGTGCCTTCTCCGTCTTCCTCCAGTTCCTGTCCTTCACAAGGCGATGCCGCTGCTTCTCCTCCCACAAATCCCAGGATTTGTTCAGGCACAGCTGTCGCCCGAGTCGTTTACGATCGCTCGGGCAGACTCTTCGTCTCTGGTCCGCAGAGTCATGGTACGCCTGGAGGGTGTCCCAGACCTTAGCGCCTCTTGTAACATAGATGCACGAGAGGAGGATGCTCGAGTTGGCTGCGGAAGGCAAAAGTGACCCGTATGGAATGTCCAAGGACCTCCATTGCTCCGGAATCGCATCTGGGGTGAGGCCAACAAGGAATTCACGGATCGAGTGGTGCGCGAGGCTCGCAAAATACGTCTGTCCTGGATGCTGATGATCGGCCCGGTAGTATTCGAGGTCGCCGAGGCGCCAGTCGACGAGGATGCCGACTGCGTTGGAGATGACAGACTTGACGTCGTGTGGTACGTTGTTCGGAGAGATGCCTTCGTCCTGGGAAATGTCAATAGCGAGGACTTGCCGCAGGAGGTTGAGGGTGACGGGTTGTGGGGAATAAATGATCCATTGAAGCGTCCGGAGCGCGATTTCGTTCTCGTAGGGCAGGTTGTCGGAGAGGTGCTGGGTAAGGTATTTGTTGTATACCACTGCTAGACTTGCAGGGCTGGTTTCAAGGGAAGTTATGATCTTCTCGACGTGGTCTTGTGTGGAGGGCCGGGAATTCCTGATCATCTCGCACTTGAAACGTGCATATAGGAACATGTGGCCTGAGGTTAATAAAAGGCTGTTCTTGAGACGCTCGGATTCAGATTCCAGAATACCGTAGTCATCGACGAGGCCGTCAACCTGCTCGCGGACGAAAGACTCTAGGTCGCCCTCGGTAGTAGCTTCCGATGTGCCGCCGATTTCGAGTTTCGGCCAATCTTGAAGTTCGGCCTCAATGTAGCGCTCTTTCCGGCTCAGAACAAGAATTTTCGCGTTTGTGACCTTGGAGAACACTTTCAGCAATGCAATCACATCTTGGCACTCATCTAAGCCGTCCATAACCAGCCTATGCCTCTTCAGCCAACCTTTCAACACATGCAATGCAGCAAGACTACTCACCATTTGCCCTGGAACATGTCAATAAAATCACAGAAAAAGGGTGCCATCTGCTCCAAGCTGAATTGGTAGTCCTGCCTCTCGTCGGTCACCCACTTGACGAAAAAGTCCATCTTGGGATGAAATGGGCGGTCTTCGCGCAGCAGGATCTGTCGGATGAAGTCCATGAGGACATGGACAGGCTTGTCCTCGTTCTCCTTGCTGAAATGGTACAGAGTAATCTCGCTTCCAACATGATGACTTTTCCGGATGTGTTCGACAAGAAAGGACGCGAGGATGCTCTTGCCCGTACCGGGACCTCCATACAACCAGAGGTGGTTGCACAGAGGCCCTTGTGCTTCAAGCCAGTGGCTGATCACCGGATGTTCAATTGCCCAATGGCAGGTACTTTCCAGCCGCGCCTGTTGATGCTCTACGAATGGGTCTTTGATATAGTGCGGTGGCCGCAATCGGCGCATGATTTCGTCCGAGCGGGCTGGAATTCGACATTGAGAAGTTGGTATTCAGGACAAGATGAAAGGCAATACCGAAGACATTGATATGGTTCACATAGTTGTGATATGAGTTGTTTAGAAACGTGCTGTTTTCTATGTGGACATTCTTCGCGTTTGAAAATTGGTGTATGCCGCCGCCAGTCGCCATTCGAGCTTCAGGGGAACCGGTGTCGCAAGCAGAGCGAGCTTGGAGGAGAGGCACCTGGTGGCCGTCGAGGAAGAGCGAGGGAACTTGGTCATTGTGCTGTCAGGGTGCAGACGTAAAGAACGTTGGGGCCCTGTCACCCCTGGCCGCACAACCAATCCGAAAACAGCAATAGGTTCCGCCACTTCCGCTGCTTCCGTAATAGGCGCCGGCCGTTGAGACCGAAGCGCCGACCAAGCTCGTCTCCATGAAACCCAAGTGAAACCTGATGGACGATGGACCTTAAACGTTACTTAAATAACCATCCCATCTTTGAGACGCCGAAGGAGTAAGATATCACACCGAGGCTCCCGAAACGGCTTTCGTTTGCCCCATTCTGATTCTCAACTTGAACTTTGTCCAGACTTTGACTCGGTGTTGTATCTGAGAGCCAAAATCGGTCCTAAATTGCATATCAAAACAACGTATCAATGTACAACAAGATAGACCAAACTTTACAAGCATAGTGCTACAACTTCAGTTTCTGAACGTTCTCCGACGGAAGGGGAACAATCACAGGCAAAGGCATCCACCGTATCGCCTTGGGCATCTTGAGGAGTTTCTGAATGGTAAGATCTTCTGGCTGACGGGCGATCCTAGCCACCTTCGGGTTAATGTCCAATAAACGCTCATGGAGCTCGTGCTTCCCTGCCTCCAGCGTCAGCATCGCATTTTCCTCATCCCCAATCCAAGATTGGCACAAGATAATAAAAAACAGGCAGTCCGTAGCGAGCACAGGCGTGTGATTCCGCTGAAGCTGCGGGCGCGCGATCTGGAAGTGCAGAAGCGCGTCATCGAATCGTTCCATTTGCATGCACAGCGCCCCAAGCTGCAGCCGCGTCTCAGCGCCGGCAAACACGAAGCGCGAGTCCCAGAATGTGGGTATGGCCTCCTGGAACAGCCGAACGGCCTCCTCGTCGTCGTCGGCAATTTGTGCAAGCCACCGACGAGCGAAGGCGCCGTCAAGCTTTTGTCCGAGTGCGTCGTTCTCTGCAATTGCGATCCGGAACGCTGCTTGCGCGTCCTCGTTCCTCCGGAGGGCCTTGTAAACAGACGCGAGGGAGGTTTGGCATTTCGCTGACCCAGATCGGTCGCCAAATTCCGTCAGGGTGTCAATTGCCTCAACGAGAAGCGCCCGTGCGGTCTCCACCTCGCCCTCTCGCTGATATGTCCGTGCCAAGATCTGTTTGCAAAGCGCTCGATGGTGAGGATCTTTATATTTTACACACGAGTTCCGACATGCCTCCCGCGCTTCTTCAATCATGTCTTCTGCAGCGTAATAATCCGCCAGCTTCAGCTGACATCTGGCTTCCCCAGGAATGTCACCTAACGCGATTAAACGGTCCCGTACGGCCTCGAGCTCCCTAATGCCTTGTTTCTGGTCATTGATCCATATGCCCTGTGCCATGTAGATCTTGCAGTGCTCGATAGAGGCCCAGTCTTCGAGCATCTCGAACCGCTTTATGGCGTCGCGGAACCAGTCGTCGAATGTCCCAGCGTCGATGTTCATTTCCCCGTATCGCTGGATACACTGAGCGGTCAGCGTCATTGATCCGTCTCGGATTGCCTCCTCCTGCGTTCGGTTGGACTCGTTGATCTTCGCCGCTTTTACCGCCTTCTGGACGAGGCCCAACCTTGGCCTGATAGCGCATCGTGGGGAGGAATAATGGAGCGTCGCTTCCATCGCCGAAACGTCACATTCGTCCAAAGCGTCAAATAATATCGTCTCAATGTTCTCTTGGTACTGGAGGAGCTTCTTTATCGTCGCCGGGAAGCTCGCATCGCCCGGGCGCCTTAAACCCTCTTTCGCGATGTTGAAGAAGTAGAAATAGAGGTTATTCCGTGATTCTCGGTCAAGGTGGTGGTTCTTCACAACGTGCGACCGAATGGGCGATAGGACTCGAAGATGCTGGCCGTCGATGGATGTAAGACAAATATTTCGCAGAAGGCCAGTCATTTCTTCAACGTTGTGCACTGTCGGTGCGATATCACCGAGATCCTTCGCCATGATCCCCGTAGGAAGCGCGCAGAGGATGCGGAATAGTTTCGCCGCTTCCGGTGAGGACACCCTGTTTATGGACCCATTGAATGTTTCCGCTAGCGTAACTGCTCCATCCAGCTCTGAAGCATCGGTCGGGAGGCTGATCAACCCATGCTCCTGCCACTCTCGAAGGACAGCGGAAGGTTTAGCGTCCCGGAGCTGGCATAGGCGCGCAACGATGGTGATTGCAAGAGGGTGATAGTCTAGCTGTTTGACTAAATCGTCGAGCATGGTGTCGGAATAGGGATACACCTCAAGGAAGAGCATTTTCGCGTCTCGAGGGGGCAAGGGTGGCAAATTAACTCTGTACGCAGCTTGGGGAAAGCAGTTCGAGTTTTGCGTCGTAATGATCATTGTCAAATGAGGGATGGCGATCAGCTGCTCCAAGGCAGCTTGAACTAGGGCCCCATCTGGTCCTTCCACGCCATCGAGATCGTCCAAGACGAGAAGTCGAGTCGAGGTGGGGAACTGGAGCATACTGATGATCGCCGGGAAACGGTCCTTGAAGGACGAGACGGTGGCAGTGTACTGCTTCGAGTTATTTGCATTGACACACAACGCGCGGTATACAGCGTCAAGGAACGCATTCAAGGTCTTGACGCCCGTCAAGCGTGCCCAGTGCCTCCGAATCCCAAAATCTCCTCTTGATCGCTGGTGGTACAGAATGGCTGCGGCGACTGCGGACTTGCCGATTCCTGGAGGGCCAACGATGCAGAATGAGTTGACGCCCTTCTCTATCTGGTTGATAGCTGTGGTGAGGTAGTGGTCGCGGCCCCACACCTTCCGGTCCAGGGGATAAGAACTAGGACAAAACGCGCGTTAGATGATGTTGACGGAAGATCCATAGATCGGTGAGCGTGACGAACGTCTTTATCAGTCCGCCTCTCCCTGATAGCTAGTGCAAACGTTGCTTCAGCAGAGCGCTCGAAATGAAGACGATCTTGCACTCACCGCACGGCGTGAATAAACCGCAGATATTTGTTCGGAAACAAGCTTTGCATAGTCCCAGACTTGTGAAAGCTAGGTGATCAATGAGTACTCGGCTTTCGTTCGAAGTCATTTACCTCTCTGTACCTTTGAAGGAGCCACTTGGGCGGCACTTAGAGGGTAAACCTGCTCGTTCATTGTGGTAAGCAAAAACGGGTGTCAAAACCCAAGGCTGTGAGCGCTCAGTTGGAAATCGGCGACCCTGACCGTGTGACGATCTCCGGCCCAGCATCTTATCTTGGCTGTACAGATGTCGAACTGCCTCGATCTTTTTGGTCTCCTGCGTGTCTGAGAGCCGGCGCTGTTCGTAGCGCCGGCCTGAGATTTTTTCCTGTCACTGGCAGAAGCGGCGGTGGATCCGAAGCCAAACCTAAAATTAGACGGTAAGTACGTCCTCTTGACAACTTGAATGTTCTCAGTTGTGGGCGGCAGATCAATATCAAAACCTACTGACACCACCGTCTTCTTGCATTTTTCACCCACATAGAGTCGACTTTTCAAATTTCTCAGGATGGCGCTCTCCAAAGCCAGCGAGTAAGTATTGACCGGCATCACTGAGATCATTTGATCCGCTCCTTTAAGGAGTTGGAGGCCGGACTCAAACGCCACGATTGCTAAATGGGGAGATGAGATTACAATCACGTGTGGCATGCCTGGACACCCCTGGTGTTCAGGTTCTAGGTTATGGCCGATTTCTTAATATAGTAATGTACCCTGAAAAATAATTTCCCTCTTCGTTCTGACTCGACTTGTTGGTACTTACTACATTGACGCCTGGTGCATCGAGGGGCTCTTGTTCGTTTTCATAAAGAATGACGGAATTACATAATGCCGGTTTCTGGGTCAAATAAATATTTGGCTGGTGCCCTTTCTCTGCTAATATGACATGATGAGTCACGCGCAATTATCTATCTAAACAACGGGAGAAGGGCATAGTAGTTTTGAGTCTCAAATCAGCTCTTCTTGGAAGGTTTCCAACAGATCCATCAAAACCAGTTGCCCAAAGTAGTCCATGAGGCGCTTCTCTACTTGCAGAGTTGGCTATCTCTAACTGACAGGCGTCGCCTAAAAGTGGGCACTGCTCTTGGATGTCGAGGTAAAAAGCTGATGGGAGTTACTGCGAAGGTAATGCTATCGGTATGATAGGGATGGGGAAGACTAGTTGTTGGGATGGCAGGATGAACAGCGCAGAATATTTGGAATTTGGAAAAGACAGAACCGCAATGGGAGATATAAACCCTTTTCATAAACCCTTTTCATAAACCGTTGTCATGGTGTTTTGAATTTTACCTCATCGAATGCTCGAAGGGCACGTATCCCACATCTAGAGTTCAGTGTTGAATGCCGCATGCTGCTTTACCATGGGCTACTAGTGGAAGACTTAGACCGCCGACCCGCCGTCTGCAATTGCCAAATCAGGAGCAGTCTAGCCTTCTCACTTACCGTGCTAAACAGGCTGGACACCCAGCGAAGGACAAGCGTTCTGCGTTTCACAGAGAAAGTTATGTAAAAGAAAACAATTGTGCGAATGAGGAAGATGTATACACTGCACAAAATGCAGCACAAATGTTTAGATGGTATCCAGAAAAACCTACAGGATAATCGGGCGCGACTTTGTGCTTCGGTTCCTGTGCAAGACCCATCGCATCTCCTCGTCTTCAGACGACTCCACGGCCTCTTCGTCTGCTTCGCCCTCTTCGTCTGAGATCGGTGAATCCGATTCAGAGACATCTGACTCAGGAAGCTTTCTCTTTCTACCCCGAGTATGGGGTTGAGCTGTTGTAGCCGTCGCCGTTCTCTTCTTCATTCCTGTTTTGCGGGCCTTTTTTTTCTTATTGTTCTGCGGAGCAGGTGGAATCCAACCCGGGAAGGTGTCGCAAAGCTCTTGTTGAAATGACTTGTCGTAGTCAACACATTTCAACGTCCAAACACCCATTTTCTGTGGCCAGTCAAGCAAGGGTCTATGTATTGTGACAAAACCGGAAAAGAATACCTCTTTCCCCGTCAGGTATGCCTTTTCCACCTCTTGGGGGTTCACGGCATTCTTGTATAGCTTACGTGTTCGTATGTCAGCTTGCTCCGCCTCCGTTGGTTCCCGACCAAAACGCTTTCGCCCGAGGATGCGGACGAGAACGGCAATGCCCCACTTCTTTCTGCACATTTCCCGAGCCCACGTCTTTCGAACCTGAGGTAGCAGTATTCAGCAAATTTTCAGTTATACGTGACGAGGAAATGTACCACGTCTTTCTGCCGTGCCCACTCTGCCACAGTAAGGAATGGTCGAACTGACTTGTCGAATTTGTAATCGCCGACAGGCAGCCACTGGTTGGATTTGATCCGCGTCAGCACTCTCTTGATGTTCGAATAGTCCTTGGTGTGCGCACAACAAATGAACAGGCCAGGAGCACCTGGTATTTCTGGAGCAAACGGTTGATACTTCGGGTGCAAGTAGGCCCAATTTTCAAGGCCATGACGGGCTAGATGCTGGGGTTTGATGGTGGGGAACGTCGCCTGCGAGTTGCCACCATAGGTGGTGGACATGAATTTCCTCGAAACCGTGAACTCCAAGACGTCGGGAGGAAGGTCAATTGGGAATATCTCCAGGCCTATGGGCCGAAGACGTGACATAACAGTATCCAGATCGAATTCCATGTCCTGCACTTTCTGTACGTTGGGCTAATTGACGATAAGGTAGTATAAGCTGATGAACGAGATGACATGATCAGAACTGGCGTACATTGTTCATGTCTTCCAGTTTCTTGAGGTTCTTTTTGTAGTCTTGGAGCTGAGCCCAGGTCGGAATCAGAATTTCAGCAATTAGACGACGTCGCTTGGGAGGTCTGTGGCCCATGATAGGTGTACTGGCAACATGCTCCTGAGACGCGTCTCTTGAGTTGGATTTGCCATGAATGGGGTTGATAAGCAGCTACCAATTACAGCTGAGTTCGAGCAAGAGGAGAGTCAAAGAATAATCACCTCAACTACATCGTCCCCATCTGATTTGCAACTGAGAGTCGACGAGTTTCCGACTTCGATTCCGCTCAATGCGGGTCTTTCGTTAACGATCTCATCTTTCATACCTAGAGTACCGTCTTCATTCTTTTCGACTTTCTGGTATGAAGCGGTTATCAGTTTCGTCTCGTCTGTAGGAATTCGGTGCAAACAAGTATCACCTCGAATGGTTGGGCCTTTCTGGTCGATTCGCGTTTGGGCCCTTTCCTCAACTCTTCCTTGATCTCGGGCTTCTCATCCTTTCCTTCATCTTCTTGCTTGACCGCAGGTGCGTCAACATCCTCTTTCTGTCGTAGTTGTCAGTGCAAAGTTTGTGCTAGGAAGCTGAATGCAAACCATGTCTATCTGACCCACCTCATGTACCTCAGATGCAAAATGAGAGGCAGAAAATGGCGGGGTAGAGATGTAATATTCGTGGTCGCCACTGCTACTGACCGGGCCGGAGCCGCCTTCAAGCAACTTGTGCAGTGAACCTGACTGAAATTCCACAAACAGTCTCTCCTAAGCATAGTAGATAGAAGAGTGATCCTTACGCAGTGTCCTTCTGAATCTCTACATCAAGCAGCGAGAGCCAAGCATCGAGAACAGACAACAAAGAATGAGATAAAACAATAGGCGACGATTGAGGGGTGGGGATGGTGGTCTAGGAAAGCAGAACCATCTGTAGCTAAAAAATTATTCTACTTTTCACTATGCAGTTACGAATAATGATGAACGTGGATGATCTAGTTATACAAATGAATGCGACGTAAGAGTGGCTGACTGGCTTGGACTTGATATGATACACTGAACGATGAAGGCGCTGATGACGACAAGGGGACTAAGAGCAGGATTAGCGGCGGCGGGGTAATAGATAGCGGACGATGCTGAGGGTACTGTTAGCCGTGCTTTGTGAACCAAAAAAAAGTGGTCGATGAGGAGTGTGTTGTTTAGACTAGCACTGAATGGTCAGTCATGACCCCACTGATGCGGTTGTAAACAGCCTCGGGATATTGTCTACGAGACGACAGTGGCATCAATACATATCGCAGAGGGAAGATATTGTGAGTCACTGACCTAGCCTTCAATCGTTCGAGTAGGTCAACTGCCGCGTCGCGGTTGCCTGCACCGAGCTCCGCCCTAACCATAACTTCCCAAGTCGAGGGCTACAACGAACAAGTGAGAATAGTGAAAAGAAAAAGACGAGGCGAACCAACCTCGCGATAGACAGGTTCCATGACAGGTACTTCTGGTGATTCCGTAGGGTTATGAGACGCGTGGTTGTTGGGCGCAGCCATACCCGTTGGAGGGTCAAGTAGAGACTCGAAGATGGCTCTTGCCTGGTCCATATCACCTACATTGGCATACCCCTTGATCAAGAAGTTCGCAATGTACGCGGTCATGTGCACGCCGGCTTCGCTCATCTTGGAGACATAGTCGGGGATGAGCTCTGTACGCTTGTGGGCCACGATGACATTGATGATAGCTTCATAGACGACAGCGTCCGGAGCAGGGGCACGAGGGATGTTGGACATGGAGTCGAAGACGGAAATGGCCTTGTCGAAGTTCTTGGATGCACACCCGTATGCGTTGATGAGAGATGCGAAGTGAGCACCAGTCAAAGGAACAGAGCGGTCGTCTTGAAGCTCGTCGAAGACCTTCTCCATGGACCTCAAGTCGATGGGCTCGATGGCGCCGTAGGTGTCCAAGAGCAACTGATAATGATATATATTAGAAAAAAGCGAAAAGGAACACCGTTAAGCAAATACCTTGTACGTGTGAGCTGAAGGACGGATACGAGCCTTCTTCATCTCATCATAGTAATAAAGGGCACTGGTCCGGTTTGGCTTCGTTGTCGTATACAGCTGCATCATCGTGTTGTAGGGTGGCACGCGAGGCTTGAAGTTCTTTGAGTGAATCATCTCCTGGAACAGGATTTCCGCCGACTTGACGTCGCCTACCCTTGCACAAGCACCAATGACGGCCCCATATGTGATCGATGATGGAACAATACCGTAACCCTTCATCTGCTGGAACAGCTCCAAGGCGTAGTCAGCCTTGCGCGCCTTGGACAGCTTCGAGATTATGTTGTTGTACAGGTACAGGTTGGGTCGGACGCCGCGCTCGAGAGCCTCCTGGAAGAGAGTCATGCCTCCGTTGGTGTCGTCCGTGGTATCCTTGACGAACTGGATAAGTACGCCGTACGCATCAGCCGACGGGACCTGCCCTTGCTCGAGAATCCGCATGCGGTGGACATGAGCAGCCTCGGGATGTCCAGAGTGTGCCAGAGCGATGATCATGCTGTCCTCGATCTGCGCCCATGCACCGATCTGCTCATCCTGGGGCAACAGCGGAAACACCTCCTGGGCGACCGTGTACAGCTCGCGAACTTTGTCCAATTGATTGGAACGACCAAGGGATTGGATGAGATGCGAGATAGCATTGATCTCGGGCACCAATCGCTTCTCCAGGTTCTTCTGGAAGATGTCGTACGCTGTCTGGAGACGTTCAGCCGCTGCCTGATGCGCGCAACGAGACAGATCTTCAAGGGTGCGCGAGAGGGCTCTGTTCAAGCTGAGGTGTGAGAACCGCTGAACGGGGCTTTGGGCTGGCTCGGCTTGCAGAGGAGCCTCTTGTGGCTGCGTCAGCTCATTCTCGAGGGTCGAGTACCTGATCTGGTCATACTCTTGTGACGCCTGGAGGTAGGATGGGCCAAGCTTCGACATCATCTCCGCGCGGCCTTGTTGACTATACCGTGTCTCCAAAACATCCAAGACATGCTTCTTGACGTCCACGTCGAAGATGTCGAAAGGGACTCCGTGGCTGCTCAGGTCATCCAACAACGAGGAAAGGCCATTGAACGCATAATCCAGGATGGAAGGAAGATTGTCCGGGTTGCCCTCAAGTCCGTTGACCTCGAGATAGGCGGCATATCGGAGCAGGACCTTCCAATCATCAGGTGACATTTCATCGTAAGGAACCAAGCTCAAGAACCTGGCGCGACCGTATGCATGCATGAACGATTGGGCGAACTTCAGGTCAGGTTTCAAGAGCAGAACGCTCGCCAGACGGGATATAGTCAGAGCAATAGCGAAGGTGAGTTCACCCTTGCCCTGCTCAGCGGTCTGATAGACGTGCTCCTGGAACGAAATGAGCTTGTGGTGCAGCTCAACCTGGCGTTGAAGGGACATGGCGCCCTTGACCGTTCTCGTCTCCTCCAGTTTCTGAACGATGAAGTTGCTGATCAAGTTGCACGGAATATCGAACAAGCCTCTGGAGACGAACTGATCGGCTATATCGGAGACCATCTGCCATTTCTCCCGGTAGGGAAACGAAGGGGCACTATTGATGTCCTCGAGGAGGAAATGAAGCAGCTCCAGGGCAGGCGCATCCTCAAGTGTCGAGATTACGTTCATGTTGGCGCGGTGGACGACGAGGCGGTCGATGGGGCGGATAATGATGTGGTCCTGTTCATGTACTGACTTCAAGATCTTGTAAAGCTTATTGAGTTCGTCGATCCGGCCATGTTGCGCCAAAGCCTCCAGGATCATATGCCATGCCACGGAATTAGGTCGCATTGCCCTCCCATCCAAGCCGTGATAAGGACTGGTGGCTGCTTCCTCCTCCTCCAACAGACGGTTAAACCAGGCCAGAGCGTCGTCAATGTCGCCCCGCAAGATGAATCCAGCGATAGTGGTGCTCAAGGTCGAGGATGTGATGACTGGAATTTCGTTTGAAGCGAATGCATTGCGAGCAGTGGAATGCATCATTTGCTCGACGAGTTCCAGAGCCTTGTCCGATATGCCAGCACGGAAGAATGCTTCGATCATGGAATTCCAAACCTGAATCTGCTGCTGGCGGATGGCATCCCCGGAACCAACCCTCGCGAGAAGCCCTGCTTCGGAAACCTGCACGTAGGACTTGAAAATCTCTTCTGCCTCCTGAATCATGCCCGCGTTCGAGAAGGTGAGGATCATGTTCTGGTATGCGATATGGTTCGGTTGCCTCCTCATGCCCTCGATTTGAGCGAAGACGTGAATGGCAGCATTGATATCGCAGTGGAAGGCGCATGATCGCAGGAGGCGATTGAAGGTCGCCATCTCGAGTTGGCTCCTGCCACCAATAGCCAGAATGCCTTCGAAGAGCGACATGGCCGACGCAAAGTTGTCCTCCGTCTTGAGCTGCTCGATCCTAGCTTGATCTGTCTCGACTGTCGCGACTTCATCGCGATCTGGCAAGGTTCCTTGCTTCGCGCGATTCTGCAAGCTGACGATGGCGCGCTGCACTTCCCAATCGCGGATGGTGAGGGCCTGGATCAAGTGTTCATACGTCCGAACGTTGGGGACAACCGACTTGTCGAGCATCGCATTGTAGAGCTTGATGATGCTGTTCAAAGGTTCTCCGGGGAATCGAGAACGAATGAGCGCATTCAAACCAGCGTTGAACTGCTCAACAGTCGGCGTCGCATCCGAACTGAATACCATTTCCCGGATGAGTTCGGCGATGACCTTGCCATCTCGAAACTCCGCAAGCTTGTTGAGCCTGGTGGTGTAATAATCTTTGGGTTGCGGAGACGGAGGGGGAGTCACAGTCTGGGTAGTGGGCTGAATGGGTGTTGATGGTCGCTTTTCCTGCAAATTTGGTGACGCGGCTCTCTTCGTTTGGCCTATTGGCTCTTCCGGTGGCGGGGTCGGGAGGGGGACTGACGTAGTCGCTGGGCTCACCAACGGGCTCAAAGGAGCCGACGTCGAGTTGCGTCGAACGAGAAGGGGAGCTGGAGGTTCGGCACGCGGGAGAGATTCGGCGAGGAGACGCTCCTTAGCAGCAGCTAGTGTCTCTCCTGGGGAAAATGCGTGTCGTGCGCGGGCATGGATTTGCACGGTCTGGAGGACCCCCATCTTTTCGCCCCGCTCATTGCGGCCGGTCACACTGAGGGACACGCTCGAACTACGAATCCGTTGTCTCTTCTGGGGCGGTCGTCTCGTCGGTGGTCTCCTCGGTGCAAACTCTTCCGTCTCGTCGCTTTGAGAAATGGTGCCGTCGTGCGAAGTGACCACATTGGCTTGCGTTACTGCACGACCTGCGTTCTGTAGACATGTTAGTAGACAGTACACCCCGACGCACATTCGCACGTACATTTAGACCAGCATGAAAACGACTACCAGCGTTGAATTTAGAGCTGCCTGGACCTGGACCATTTCCCCAGCCTGATCCTGATCCAGAGGATGGGCCACTAGATTGCAACTGCAGAACATTCCTGAAGGCATGTGTCTGGTTCTGGACAACTGCAACTGCACGAGTGGTAGTATGGAGGAGCTGGGGGAACATGGGAGCCCAAAAGGTGTCGCTCGACACCCACTTGAAGTTGGAGGGGCTTGTCCCGCACTGGGTGGTGATACAACCCCAGACTGAAGGAGGGGAGATCGAGGGAAGGAATTGGTGGTGTTGCCGAGAGCCGATCGAGGTCGTGTCCTCTTTTTTTGTTGACTCGAACCTTTGCCGCCAAATATAACGTCGGGTCAAACCGGCGGCAACCTTACATCAAGTGACGACGATGACAAAACAGGTGATTCACGCCAAGTCTTCATTCAACTTCGTGCGAGGAATAAAATATTGCTTGCTCAGTTGAGGGCTTAGTTGGAGTATGAATCATAACACTTTCTCCCCGTTCGTCGAAGGCGAAACATGTACTCACAGGCGCTTTCAAAGTCAGGATCGATATGTCTTGGCAAAGATCATTGTCAAATCTGGTGTCACACCCTCCGGAGTCCCTCGTCCGATAGTCTTGTTTCCCTGAAGTACGGAAGATGTCAAATGCCCACATGGATGTAAGTTGCCCATCGACTGGGATGAGTTCCTTTTGCTTGGAGACTTTTGACCGCAGAATCCAAAGCATAGGCTATGATTTTCGGGTCAAGGCTTCGGTCAGGATCCTTGAACATCTCTTCGTAGATCATGCGAGCAACTTGCGGGCCATCATCATCATTCATCGTCCTAGAAGAGTCAAATGTATTGACACCACTCCACCGCTCTGAACTCCATCGCAGGAACTCACCACATTGTCCCGATGACGCTTCGGAATCCTGGATAATCTTCAGCACGGACGTCCTAGAGGAGAGTGAGACATCCAAACTCACCGGCATACAGCATTGCGGCCGCAAGATTTAATGCTTCGTCTGGAATCTCCAAATCATTCGATGCACTCTCACATGCACTGAGAAAGGCCAGAACAGCATGGGGAGTCTGGCGACTGATGAGCTTAGAAATCGTTAAGCGTCCGTCTTGAAGCTCAAATCCACTGCTTAGAGGATCGCCGCGGTCTTGATGACCATGGCAAGCCAAATGGAGGATGGAGGATTCTGTCAAGTGTTCTAACGCCTCCCCGACGGTCCGATTCGTGTTGGCTTCCGATAAACGCCCTTCTCCGACCCGCAAGAGCGACCCAGTTGGGATGACCTTCTCCACCAATTCCAGCTCTTGCAAGGTCATGGGGAGGTCTTGATGGCCTTGAGTGGTTGGCTGGGCGAGGACCAACACTTTTAGGTCCTTGATCAGAGGAGGCGAAGACGCATTGTGAACGCGAGCGGAGATAAGTGCTGATAGGGTAGGAGTGTAGGACGAGACGACATATTTTGAAGTGCACTCTATGTCCGCTGTGCCAAAGTTGATGCCCGCCGCATGCATAGGGAGGAAAGCGAAGCGACCTGTTAGACACCACCAAAGGCGTTGGCGTTCAACTGTCGAGTCCGGGCTCTACTTGGGATGCCAGAGATCAGTCGCTCGCCGAAAAGACCTCTGTGAAGCTTCACTTACCGAAGTCAACCCCATGAAGTCAAAAATAGGTTTCACTATCATCTTCCAAAGACTGGCGAGCAACGCTTCGTAAGGCGGGGTAGCCACTCTTCTCGGTCGACCATATCTGTCGGTATCGACGTCCCTCTCTCCGCCTCTCGCGGCTTTTGTCGCCCCATTGAGACCCACGACCAACCTTTCCATAACGCCATTGACGATACCCTTCAAAAATATGGCCTCTGCCCCTTTGGTGCGCACCACGAGTGCTGCGTACATCGACTCCATTCCCAGGAGGACAACCACAGGACCCTCGGTTGCCGCGCGAAGGAGTTCTTCAGCAGTCTTCGGTTTCAAGAGGCCCTCAAAGCCGGGTACTTCCCGTGCCTCTGCGAGGAGAGCCGCGAAGATGCTCTCCAGTTCGAATTGCTTCTGTGCTTCTTCCTTCGCCACTGATGCCACAGTTTGAGAACTGCACTCTTCGAGCTCTTGTGCGACCTCCTTGAGCCGAGCAGCTAGGTGGTCGGGCAGACCATCAAAAGAGGTTCGCAACCTCAGTAATCGCCCCCAGAAGAAGGAGCGAGAGGCTTCAATGAGCTCAAGGCACCTCTCCGGACCGCGCGAGAGTAAGGCTTGAAGCGGCGCCAAACGGGAGAAATAGGGTGTCTGCGACTTGAGAAAGCTCATCCTCTTTTCTAACTGGATGTCCTGGGGGTCGAAATAAACACGCTTGTCGATTTGACGTACGATGCCTTCAGAGATACGTGATTCACGCCCTTCAGCGATTCGAATCTCGAAATTGGCGTCATCCATAAAGGCTTTAAGGGTGCGTGCTTCCAGTGGCATGTCGAAGAGTTGTTGGGTTTGGTCCAGGGTCATCTCGTGCATGCCTGGTATGACGGTGCTAGGGATATTCTGTAGGATGTCGGGTAGAAAGGCGTTGGGAGATCGAGATAGAAGATCCTCCGGCCATGGTGTGAGATCGTCAAATTCCAATGCACCTTCACCACGGAGGGATGAAGAGGTGGGTTCCGGCTCGTCGTGTTCACCGTCGTTGTTCAGACGGCAAATTCGAGTAGGATAATATCTCAGAAGACATAAGTGGCTGCAAGAAGCCGGGTTTATCTGTGATGTGATCTTAATAACGCCATAATGGAAGATCGTTATGTCAGTGTCTTCATGGGAAATACCAACACCAGACGTGGCCTTGTTAACGCACGAAAGCACCGCAGACTCCAATGATGTATGTTCTAAATGAGCGCACAAATGCAACTGGGGCTCGTTTTCGGTTTGACGAGCGTCCATAGCATCCGGGATAATAGGAAGTGCCTGAACGTATGGGTGCAACACAAGATGAAGCATGCCAGGGTTGCGTGAACAGTCGACGGCAGTGACGCGAATCAAATCCGCGGTGTGGATGATACACATGGCTTCCGATTGCAAAGAGAACTTCCCAGGATAAATGCCTTGGTGAAGAAGATCTCGACCAGCTGCTTGGATGTCCTCGATCTCTTTGAAGCTATCCTCGCCAGGCGCGGTCCCAAAGACCTGAAGATCCAAAACGAGGATCAGAAGCCGCAGAGCCGCGTGCCATCGATCTGAGGGTACCGTCCGAGCGAGGAAGATTAAAATTGAGACTGTCAAGACTTCAAGAGCGGAAACGCGGAACGGACGCCCTGAGGGGACCAAATCCCAAAGGTCGCCAAAGAGCGCCATCGTCGTTCTCAAGGACTCGTCCGAATCCTCGAAAAACCTGTACCGATGGCGCAAAATACGCCCAAGGATCATGAGCTTCCTCGCCTCCACAATCCATGGATCGAAACCTGTGATCAAAGTAGCTTCCCTGAAAAGTTCGAGGGCAAGAGCGAAGAGAGTCGTTCGACGGTCCCGGTCCATCAAATACTCGGCAATGTAGCTCGAGGTCAGCTCAATGACTGCGAGTAAGTGTCTCGGAGTACCAGGTTCTTGAGCATGGAGGAATTCTTTGAACAACCTTGACGCATTCCCGACGAATTCAAGGCGGTCTTCAGATGTCCGCAGATCGGATGCAAGACTGAGTAATAAATGGGCATAAGCAGGCTCTCTATGGAGTTTGACTCTGAGCATGAGCTGACTAGCTTGTTTGAGATGGCGAAAATGTCCTGTATCTCTTTTCATGATTATGTATGCATGAATGGCCGGCGATTTCTTCCAATAGGTCGTTTCATTGTCCGAAGATTTTAAAAAGTCGGACTGAGTGAGAAGATCCTTGATCGCGTCGGGATTGTCGATGAGATAATCGAGTTCATCTATCGCCAGCGGCTTTATAAGATTCTTCAAGTGGTGATAAAAGAGATCGTGTCCTTGGAGATCTATTGCACTCAATCAATAATAAGAACGAATATTTAAACCACACAAACCATTTTGTGAAACTCTATCCCCACGGATGGGAGAAACTTTGAATGTGCATACATGCGTTCCAATTGGGTCTTTAGGACGCCCTAATCTTGAAGGTGCAAGTGCTGGTCGATGCACAACCTCCGCTTCGAGTGTGAAAAGCTGAAAAGAACGGAAAGGGTGATCTTCGCCTCGAAAAGGCGTCGAGGAAGTCGAGGAAAAGGTCCTGGACCGAAGGAGGGAAACACCCAATTCCCATTCTTCGCTCCATGCACGATAATCGTCAACGCACGGATCGCCACGAGCAGTGGTAATGGTTCCTCGGCGGTCGAATGTATCTGCCATATGAATCAAGCACAATGCTTTCGCACTGGTCGATAGGATGCAGTGATCGAGCGCGAGAGAGAGAGCACGGTTAGCATCAGTCGAAGGAGAGGTCAATGGTGAGTCTTCGATTACGGCGGAACGAAGAGTGAATAGGGTGTCGAACCAGTTGTCCGGTTGCAGGGTTTGAGAGAGGATAAACAAGACGGTGATGACGAGGATCTGAAATGCCGTGTATTGGGAATCTACAGGCGAATTAATGGAGTTCAGTATGGATGCAACAACCTGAACGGTCCGAGATATATCATCGGGTTTGGGTCCTAGGTCATCATAGCGGATACGGATTATATCTGCGACGATGAACATAGTCCTTGTTTTCCCGAAGCTAGATGTCCAATCGCCGACAAAGATGCTTTCGTTGGCGCCAAGGATAATTTGCAGGGCGAACTCGAGAGCTGGAGTGTGATTCTCTGAGAGGTAGCATTGAAGGCAAGCACAGGCGAACTCGATGGAAGTGAGCATTTGACAATGGGATCCATCCTTGTCGACTGCCGATGCTTGTTCCAGGAGGTCTATGGCTTGATTGAGGAATCGTATTTCGGTTGTTCTTTCGAACAGTTCCACAGATCGAGTCGCCAAGAGGTGGAAGAAGAATGAATGTTCTGGTTCGTTGGAGAGATCGACCGACTGCAGTACAAGGTTGGAAGCGCGTACAATATCACTCGAGCGTTGCTGTCTCGAATAACGACGAATGAGGAGCGCGACTTCCAGTACAATCTTGATGTATGCGCTTTGCTTTGACGGCAATTTGTTGCTTAACGCGAGAAACGAGTCAGGATCATCGAGGCATCGGGATGCCTCAGCGAGAGAAAGCTGTTTAATTTCAGACCACCAAGTGATCGCAAAGGACTGTGGGTTTGATATATGCTCCACTTAAAGTATACATAATACATATTGTCAGTTCCTTCTCTCACCAAGGAAAACAACGAAAAGACGCACTATTATTGTCCTGCATGGTAGCATTGACCACGGCAAGGCGCGCAAGAAGATCTGTGGCGAATCAGGCAGTGTTCCAAGAGTACGCAACCAAATCGAAGACGAGGATCCGCTCTGGACAGTGACGAGATTTGGACAAGATAACAAGAGGGTTTGGAGCGTTGCGCCGGGGGTGCGAGTGCCGGCAGGCGGTCAGTGCCAAATTCGATTGCCTTACGTGAACATGGCCAGTCGTGGAACGAAACCAGTTGCAGCAAGGAAAACGTGACCAAAAAAAATGAGGCATGCATGTAAGTATGATAGATACTGAGTAATCATACTGTGTCAAATTAAGGAAGAAAGGAAGGCAATGTGGTTCGTGGTCAAGAGGGATCATCGATCAAGGCTCAAGCGCTCAAGAGGATGGTTGGGCTGAAGTGTCGCTGAAGTGTGCCAAGTATGGAAGACAATTCACACGACTCGTTGATCGAGCCTAGTCTTGCGTCCTTATATGTAACCAAATTTGCCTGTTTCTATTGATGTTGTAGCACTTAATTCAATTTCTTGATGGGGTTTACAAGTCAATGAGTTTCCATCCGGCTTGCAGAATCTCGTCCCATGCACAGGATAACTCCGGTTCACCATCTTCAACGCCACCTTCCGACGCCGTGCCTCCACCTAGGCCAAATGCAAGCGCTGCTTCGCTCTCCGTTGGACGAATGAGTTGCCTTACTGTGACTTTTGGCGTTGTATCTTGAAGAATCGAAGCAACCCGGCCTACCGAGAGCATCAGCTCTGGTGAAAAGGTCTTCGGGTTGATGTCCAATGCCTAATCGTGAAATTCAGCAAAAGACAGGAGAGACCATAAGGAAGAAAATACTGACCTTCCAGCCCACTAAATTCCCTACAGCTAGCTGCTCGACGCTTTGTAAAGCCGCACAGTTCTCCCAGACTTTATCGGCTCGATTCCAGTCAAAGCAGCTGTTCTTACCCGCTTCCTGCTCAACAGCACCGACACCTCCATCTCCTTGTTCTCCATACGAATATTCCTCTGAAACTTGTTCCTCCTCATGACCGTACCAATATTTCTGGGCCCGGCTCTTATTCTTCCTATTGTTCCGTTTTGATTTCCTACTGGTGGAAGGGTCGTCCCACACGCCTGCTTCAACGTCAACGGACATCACGAACATGTTGGGAGGAAGGAGGCCGAGCTTTTGAATTTCTGATGGTGGAACGAGGCGCGCTTGACATTGGCTAGTGGCTGGGGGTATCGGATGGGTAGGGCCGCTAGTGCTCAGGTAGTCGATGGCTTGAGCATAACTCGTAGGAGTTCCAGATTCAGTCGTGCTGTAAGAGCTAAGACTACTAGGTCCAGCTTCAGCGTTGAAAATGATCTTCTGAGGGATTGGAGCATTCATCGAGAGCTTGAACCCCTTCTTCTTGTTCTTGTTTCTGAGTGAGCCCATCGCCACTTGGTCGAGTGTGATGTAGCCCGATGTGGGAGCCGCTTCGCTGTTGTCATTCAGCTGACTCTCCTGGGGCTGTTGTTCATATTGAGGGCCTGACGCATTGGACTGGAAGGCATTATTCAACGTGCCGGCAACGTCCGGGGCAGGTCCATCAAGGTCTCTTCGGTCTTGTGCAGAGGAAGAGGGAGGGGAACCATCCTTCTGTACAGTAGAGGTCCCAAGAGGTATGGTGTTCGTCTCGGAAAGACCTTTTGGCGGTGCAAGAGCAAGCTTCTCAAACTCTCGCTTCTTCTTCCTCCGCTCGTTCCGTGAGTGGGTGGTAGCCTTTCCTTGTCCTGGTGGGACATGAACTGTGCTTGCAGCGCCTGTTGGCGCAGCTGGTGTAGGTTTTGTCGATGCAGGCTTTTCGACAACGGCGTTCGATGACCGAGGTTTGGGTGGCGAGGAGGGGGTGGTAGAGGACGAATCCGATGAGGTTGATGTAGAAGAGGATGAGGAGGATGACGTGGATGATGTGGAGGATGAATCTGATTCGGTGTCGCTATCTTCCTCCGAAGAGGAGTCAGACGAAGATTCGACGAGTGCCTTCTTCAACACTGGCTGGACAGCAGGTGGCCGCACAGGCCTGGCCGACGTTGACGCTGTTTGTTCAGGAGACCTTTTGCGTTTCCTTTGTTGTGGTACCTCTACTGAAGAAATTCAGAAGTCATCCAACATCCAAACAACAACGCACACTCACCTGAGGGTTGAATGTCCATATTCTCGTCCTCATCTTGCACAGAAGGCGATAGTTTGACGGTGACAAGATCTCCATCTCTCACAGCATCGAACGGGCTGTCGTTCAAGAGTTCAAATCCTTCCAGCAGAAGAACAAGGTCTTTTCCATGATAGTGTCTGTCTTTCAGTGGCTGGACGCGCCGACACAGCGTTTTTTTGAGGTCGATGATAAATTCTGGCACGTTCTGGACGTCAGGGACAAACCAGGCCTTTACGTCGGGTAATGGGGCATGGGTTTGGATGCGAAATCTCATAACACAATCAGGCCACTGGAGAAGGAGTTGGAATTTAATAAGGTAGTGGAGAGGGGCACTGCCGCCTTAGGTACTGATTTGTTTGGCTCTGTTTTTCCTCCCTATCAAGACAAGATTTTATGGAAAGCTCCCTTTTTGTACGCATCACGCGTGATTTTGTCCTAGTTTCTGTACTAATCTAATTAAATATTGGAGGCGGAGGTCACCTTCGAGTTAAAAATCCAGGAAGTGTCGGCGTAACTGCGGGTTCCAAGGGTAAGGAGGAATTTCGGAGGCCTCTGCAACCTCACTCGTCCATCCTCTGTGGCTACGCCACTTCGTTTTGAAGCTCCGCTTCTCCACTTGCTGTGCCGTGGTCGCCGTGTCTCCCTTTGGTGCTGAGGATTCAGCGGATGCTGAAGCGGAGATGGATGCGGTGATTATCGTACGGTGAGTCACTCTTGGTTGGTTACTGTCTTCGACAACGACCACCACACATCCGGGCTGCGCCCACTATTTTATCCTCTATTATTCGTACTCTAGGTTCCGCCTAATCCCATTTTCGCTTGTAATCTCTTCAACATCTACATCTCATCGACATGGTGGACACCCAACGTACCCCTGAGGCTGGACCTAGCACCACTGGACCTACCGATGCATCGTCCGCTGCAGAAGCAATTCGGCGGAAAGCTGAGGTCCTCGATCAGATCGTTCGGAATGCCCTTTCAGCAAAAACTCCGGAACCAGTTCTTTTGCAACAGCTACAAGACGCTGGAACAACGCCTCAGGATGCCGCCGAACGCCTCAGCATGTACACGAGGATGAGGAGGCAGACTGATCCAGCTCGGAACCCCCTCACAATCCAGCTTCGCAGTGAAGAAGACCTCCCAGACTCTCAACAACCTTCCCGGGCTCACTCGCCTGCAGCCTCAGATGATCATCCAGCAGGCGATAACGGTCGTCAGGAGCCGGTTACGACAGGGATTTCCTACTTGGACGCCATTGATGAAGCGGCGTGGGCTACTCTCAAAGCGAAGATTGGGTACGCCGCCCTGCCTCCTGCAAGGACTAACAATCAGGGAGGTGCACCCACCACTGAACCAGACCTGGCCGCCAGGCTAGCTGCGGTGCTCGGTGTTGCCATCTCCGACTCCCCCTCGACCATCCCTGCATCGGTCCTGACCGGTGCCCCGCACCTCACGACCATTCTTGAGCTTGGGAAACATGACAAGCACATATCCGAGACGTGAGAAGGCGCTCGACCCGATTGCTGACGCCATGCAAACCATCCCCATCATCCACATGCTTCCAAAGTCAATCTGGAAGCTTATCATCCAGGATCAGTGGGTCGACTTCGAGAAACTACACGCCTCTCTGGAACACGGTTATGACCATAACGACAACGCAAAGGACTTTGGGAACGGCTATGTCATCATGAAGAAGGATCACCTCACCTCACGTCGACCAATCCGCACTGAGGCAGAGTGGATCCGGGTCTTCGAGGCCTGGTCCACGGGTGTCACCCTCCTATATCCGCACCGCAGCATGGAGCTGAAGAAATATCGCTTGATCGTTGACGAAGTCTTTCGCGCCTCCCCACAAAATGTCTCGCCGGCAATCCGGTTTGATGTTGAAGTTCGTAGGAAGTATTCACGTGGCCCCTTCCGGATGGACGATCATGGTGAACTCCAAGCCCTTGTCCTTGCCCAAATGTATCGCCCATCGGCTACTCCTACCCTCCCCCTTGCCAAACGCATTGCATCAGACAGCCACCAGCCTTCTCCAGCCAAGCGTGCTGATATTCCATGTCAGCTTTGGAATATGGGCAAGTGCAACGATCCGTGCGTAAACCGTCGCAAGCATGGAACATGTTCTGAATGTGGTGATTCCCATCGGGCCTATGACACTCCCACCTGTCGTGCAAGCCTCTTTTCGCAGGGCAAGGATGGAACATCAGCAGACGCCTGATGATATCGACAATCTTTTCAGCCTTCAAATCCTTCTGGCCTCCATACACGATGAGGACACAATCTCTCAATCATCTATGTTTTCTCTTAATCTCGGCTCGCATGACTCCGTCATTGCAGCCACTTCATATACCCCTTTCTCGTGGCTTCGCCTCTCGGACACTGCTCAGCTCTTACCATTCTTACCATGGACCTCTTTCTCAACAACAGCTCACATGACCCCGTCATCGCAGCCATTTAAATACCCTGTTCACGTGGCTTCGCTTCTCGAACACCTCTATTTCTTCTACGGCCATCGCCTCTACATCCTTCTTTCACCACCACCACCACCCCCACACACAACATCAGCAGGTCCTCATAGCCTGTCCGCTCCGACCTCAATCAAAGTGGGGCCCGCCTTTTCGCGGACCTCGTTATTGCTACCATTGTTTGGAGTGAGATAACAGCAGAGGTCGGCGTAACTGCGGGTTCCAAGGGTAAGGAGGAATTTCGGAGGCCTCTGCAACCTCACTCGTCCATCCTCTGTGGCTACGCCACTTCGTTTTGAAGCTCCGCTTCTCCACTTGCTGTGCCGTGGTCGCCGTGTCTCCCTTTGGTGCTGAGGATTCAGCGGATGCTGAAGCGGAGATGGATGCGGTGATTATCGTACGGTGAGTCACTCTTGGTTGGTTACTGTCTTCGACAACGACCACCACACATCCGGGCTGCGCCCACTATTTTATCCTCTATTATTCGTACTCTAGGCTCCGCCTAATCCCATTTTCGCTTGCCCACCCACCTCTCCCCTTTATTATACTTTGGAGCTTGCTTCTTATAAATGGACTCTCTTTTTACACAAACGGACTCTTACTGTACTACTACTTACAGACATGTTACATGTTATCCCACGTAGCCTGTCCGCTCCGACCTCAATCAAAGTGGGGCCCGCCTTTTCGCAGACCTCGTTATTGCTACCATTGTTTGGAGTGAGATAACAGCAGAGGCGTCGTAACACGCTGTTCTCATACAAAACACCACCATAAAATTTGAGATCAGCAAAAAAAATTTGGAGAGGCCCGTAGATACATGACAAAAGTGCAACGGAGAAAAAAAAGGGGCAATCGAATATGTTGTGGTGGAGAAAAGGCGACCTCAATTTTGACACGCCAAAGACCAATTAAGAGCTTATGTAACATGTGCCCTGACACGTCAACTACGCGCCAACGAGCTCCCTACACTGCATTTAGGTCCATTCATCCTCTCTCGAGTGCTTGTACATCTCCTCGTACTCCTCTTATGGGTCGCTCACTGAAGAAAAAAAGCAAACAAACAGTTACAGCTGTTTCGGAAAACCTTGTCCATCACAACTTTTTTTTTTGAACCATGGGCATCATGTGAGCCTGGGGACCTTTCGTGGGAGCCATCAATGCTACTGTATTTGGAGAGAAGAGATTTGAATGGCTACTTGAGCATCTATGGCACATTCTTGGATGAGAATTATGGGCGCGTTATAGCGTAGGAGCTGTTCCGAGACTATGTGTGAAATTTAGGGTGAAACCATATAATTTTGGGTCCAAGCGTGCCAGCTAGCCTCTTTCCCAGGTGTGGAATTGCTCTGTGGGCGGTTCAGGTTCCGAAGGTCCACAGGCTGAGCCCCACCACCTAGGCGTGACGTTTGGCGTTCAAAAATAACCTGACTGGGAGGTTTAAATCACGATATTTAGGCCAGGAGGCAGGTAATCGCTCACACAGCTCATGTGGCTGGTTATTGATGTGTTGCCCAAAGTGGCAGCCATCAGCACATGACCGGTCACAGCTCAAAAAAATTAAAAAAGTGATGGACAAGGTTTTCTGAAACAGCTGTAAACAACGAGATTCAAGCAAACAAGCAGTCAAATTAGCTCACCAAGCACAGCGCCATGAAGCTCTTGTGGAACAGACAAACCATAATGCAGTTCCCGTCTCTGAGGACCAGGACCAAGTAATAGAAGACTTGAAGGAGCAGGTCTCCTTCTATAAGCAGAAGGCAAGCGAGGAGGCTAAAAAGCAATACAACGAAACCCATTGACGAAAAGGACTACAGAAAAAGGTCACCAGCCAAAAAGAGCAGCTCAAGGAGGCAAGGGATGAGGCTTACTGTCTTCGAGGGGTAAAGAAAATGCTTGGGAAGAAATTGGATGATGCAGAGGAGGCTGCAAATGACAGCATACGACAATTGAAGGAGAGGATTGTGAGGTTGGAGGAGGCTGTGAGGGATTTGACACAGAAGCAGGTTGTTCTTTGGAAGTGCTGTGAGCAGCTTGTCACTGCTAGAAAGGCCCTGAAGAAAAGGCTCAATGAAACGCACAAGAAGCCACCCTCAGCATTCAAGATGACCTACAAGGGGCGGTACACTTGGAAGGCCCATCTCATTGCTTGTCTAATGGTTTCCAGTGGAACAGCTGAGAAGCATGTTGGAGGAACACTTCAGGAAATTGGCCACATACTCAGTGTCGAAGTGCCAAAGGCAATGAGAAAGTGCACTGTTCACCGCGCAATTCTTGAGAAAGGGGTGGCAGCTGATATTCAGCTTGTGTACGAGATTCTGAAAGCAGGACATACATATAGTATATTTGAATGCACTGGAGTCATTCTAATGTAAACCATTAATTTTTTCAGGCATCACCTACAGCTCAGATTCAATGTCACACAAGCACATTGAATATGAATGTCATACCATTGCCCTCAAGGTGGTTGACTACTCGAATCCCAATGCAAAGCCAATATGGAAGCTTCGTACACTTGGGGTTGGGACATCAGTAAACCACACCAGTGAAACACAGGTCAACAGCTTATGGATTCGCCTTCAGGAGCTCACTGAAGTCTTCAACAATAGTCCTCTCACTCAGCATGAGGGCCTCCGCTTTGTTCCTGATGACTTTGCATACCGGCTTATTGGAACGAGTGGTGACCATGCTGCTGACCAGAAACAAAGCCATGAAATCTTACAAATTTGGCGCCTCGAGGTCATCCTGCAATGACTTGGCGAGGACGCACTGTTCAAGATGGATGTAGGCTGTGTCCTGGCTGTCCTAATGGCACTGAAGGCAAAGCAGATTGCAGCATATGGAGGCCAGGCAGCTTGGGAGGCACTCTCTGGTGACAAAAAGGCCACTGCTGATATACTGATAATCCGCAAGGTGGGACAGCAGGTTTTTAATGCACTTCCTGAAGAAGAACAGCAAAAACTCACCTGTTTCATCTGTACCAGGTGCTGCATGCACAAAGACTTGAACTGCTTCAAATGGGGGGTGAGAGCAATGGGCGAAATGTGGTCAAAGCTGGGAAAAACTCTGCCACTTCTCCTTGCAGACAAGGACAATGCAGCGGTGCTCAGAAATCACAAGAATGGGTCAGCCCCAACAGAGGTTGAAAAGTGTGCAGAAGAGGTGTTGAAATGAGGTGGGGTTCATGCAACAATGTTGGGGGGAATGATATGTTGCAACAAGATTAAGAAGAAGGGTCAGCAAGACACGTATACATGGTACATGGAAACTCATGTTGGGTACCACGTACCATATCCTGACATGAGCAACACCTGCTATGGAACCCATGGAGATGCTGCAGCAACAATTATGGTCTATTGCAAGCATTTCGTCAATTTCACGGAGTTTGTGCGGAAGACAAAGGACCAACCTGGGCTAATGAACATTGAACAGAACTTCGCCGATGCTTTAAATGACATACCCACCATCACAGAGTTATGCGTTCTCGCCCTGTACAACATCGCCGTCTCACAGCCTTTCATGGGACACGTTCGGAAGCATGACAACATTCTCCAATTGGAATCGTTCTTCCAGAAGAAAGCTGATTTTCTTCAGGCTATTGCCATCAGCCCTTCCCTTTGGACGGGCAAAAATGTTTTGCATGCAACAGGTTCTCTGAGTGGTGGAGAATGGACAGAATGGGATATGGAGGTCCTCAAGGCTGTCAAAAAACACTCATCCATGCTTTCCGACTTAGACGATGCCATTGTTGCTTTTGTTGATGGCGCTCACAAGGCTTTTGTGGAGTGCTTCTCCAATGAGTTCAAGATTGGCAGTGGGATCAACACGCTCACAGAAAACAAGTGCGAGAAGCTCTATTTCTTGTCGACCAATGATGCCAATGAGGGAGGACTGGGGAGTTGGCAATGTGGACAAGTGAGACAGCCAGCTGAAACACTCCAGAAGTTCAATGCTTCTTTTGTGGCTGCACGAAACAACACTGAGTCATTCATCACATACAAGCTCACAGAAGAAGAAGAAGACCTTTACGTGATGTGAACCAGCAGACAGCACAATGTGAGTGGATCTCAGAAGAAGATAAAAACTGCTCAGATGCAAGCTGATCAAGAAAAGGCAGCTGAAACATCCAGGAAGGAAATACGATGAGAGACAAGACACAGAGCTCAGACAGCTGCTCTGTTGGCGACGGTGAAGAATCTCGTAACTGATCTGGCAAAAATAGAGAAGATGAACAAGGACCAGTTGACCTGTCAGCTGGACTTCCATCGCAAGCTTGAGAAGTGCCTTCCCAAGCCTGTCAGTGATGACACTGATGTCCCCATGGAGCCCCACACAGAATTCCAGAAGGCCATTCCCTTGAAGAGCAAAATGAAGTTGAAAAGTGATCAACTCATCGCGCTGAAGGCTGCCTTGACCAGATATCATTCCCGGAATGACAATGAGCAGGTAATTGCCGAAATGGTTAATGAATGGGGTCGGGAAAGTGATGAATCTGATGTTGAGATGGCTGGCCCCAAGGATACTCTCGGATATGAGTCTGATTTTCATGATGATTGCACATAAATATACAAATAGCTTTAGAATATATATATCTTATTTCTATCTAATTTCCCATGAAGTGGCAGCATACAATGGGTGCCTAGCACACAATAACCATGTGTGGAGGGATATTTGCATGGTTTGGAGTGGCTGTGCACTTAGTCATTGCACATTTCCCGAACTGACAGTGCGCCTCTCCAAAGGTAGAGGTGCTCTTGTCCACATCACATGAAAGTCATGACAATTTCTGTGTTTCCCATGGGTCCTGGCAAATCCAAATTTTCCCAAAATCTTTGCAAGGAAGTGCTTTGATTTAAATTTTGAACATTTCCTTGGAAGAAGTTTTGCGCAAAGTTGAGCCAAAAAAGTGCCCCAAGGGATTTACTTTTGGGCCCAAACACGACAATGATGGAAGTTCAAGTGACTCATTGTTTTGGCTGGAGTCACGGCAGAGTCACGGCATGTGATGTAGACAAGAGCACATCAGGCTTCTAAAACCAGCCGCTCGTATTGCTTACAGGCAGCTTTCTAGAGGGGGGAGGATGGATAGAAGGAATTATCTTATCAGACTGACATCTTATCAAAATATAAATAATGGTAAACTCATCTAAGGGAACCTGAAGCGATAGAGCGGCTGGCAGATTGTGGATTCAGTGATCTTGGCAATTGTTTGTCCCACGGCCAATCTCAACAGCTTTGACCATCCTTGAGCACTTTGAGGGTGCAACATTGCTGTATTAAATCACTATAAAATGCCAATAAAATTTTATTTGACCTATTGAATGCTCTCCACATTTCTCAGGGCAGTAGCAATCCTCCGTTTCCCCTCCACCTCATATTATCACCCTCATATGATACCTCCACTACATGGCAATAGGATCCTTGATGACTGGGCCATCAGTCTTGTGTAACATAAAATCCTGGTCTTCAGTAGTTTGTATCATGAAATCATGGATATCAGTGAGCACAATGTGCAGGCAGTCTGCAAGCCACGCACCACAAGGTGCTCTGAATAGCACAATAACAACCTTGAAGCTACATCAGGAAAATGACTTTTGATCTCATGTCACCTGAGCACATTCCCACAATCCTGAAGGAGCAAGGCTGCCTTGCTGTGATCTGGGATCACCTCAGAGATCAACGGTATTCTTGAAGTCCTCTGAGCACTCTGGGAAAGGTCAGATTTATCAGAATTTATGAATTTTCAACTGCCACAGAGCTACTAGATATCTAGGAACATATTTCTATTAGAAGAGAGCTTGATACACATACTTACTCGGCCAATTATTAGTCAATGCTTTAACAACAGAGTATACTCAATGCTCAGTGTATGTAATTGGACAAATACTGACACTATAACATAATAAATAACATTATAACAAGTTTAGAAGTCTCAAGTTTCATTCAGACTCAACTGAAACATGAAAGAAGTGTACTTGACTGCTTTTCTGAGTATAAGAAGTTACATATCTCAAGAACCACTTTTTCTATGGTCACAAAATTTAGTACACAATTAGACCATATAAATGTGTAGCTAATCTCAAGATTTCAGACATTTGCGCTAAGAATTGACCAAGATATTATGGGTGCATATCTTCAAAAACCCGCATTGGCATATCTCAGTTAATTTTTATGCTGCTTACCTATCACTTGGAATTCATTAACAAGGACATATTATCTAGGTATCTGCAAAATTTCAGATCCATAGCTTCTCTGGATATTGAGCAGTGCGCTCATGCAAAGTGCGCATCATTCAGTTTCTTAGCATTGGATGCTCAATATCTCAAGAACCACAAGTGCTAGAAATACCAAACTTTGTACACTGTCAGAAGACATAAAGCGTAGCTGAGACCCAATTTTCAGACCTTCACACCAAGAATTGACTGAGATATTACCAGTGCACATTTCTAAAAACCCACATTGGCATATCTCAGCTAATATTTATGCTGTTTACCTGTAACTCGGAATCCATTAACAACAACATGTTAGCTAGTCATCTCCAAAATTTCAGACCCATAGCTTCTTTGGTTCTTGAGATATTGAGCATTGCGCTCATGCAAAGCGCACATCATTGAAAGCTTGAAGTCATTTCAAACTCTGACTCAAGCAACAGTGTGTCACTCAATACCATTTTATTATCCTCTCCTGGTCAATTCAGGTTGGAAGTTGATATCTATTTCTATTTACATGGCCCATGTAACATTTATCCTGAGTGTTTGAGCTGTTACTTGAGCGATAGCTGCAGGGGAAAAAATTCCCCTTGGGTAGACAGTTTGTCTCCCAAATCCCACAGTCATGTGATCAATGTTCAACTTCTAAATCAAGGCAAACTGAACTTAAACTCGAACGCCATCCTCATCCCACTTACCTCTTGCAATGCTTGCTACCGCCCATGCCAAATCCATTTCTGTGAGAAGGAGGCACTGCTTCCAACCCAGGTAAGTATTTCACTTTTCATTCATACTGCTACTCTACTGATACCAGTACTTTGTCAGTGTTACTACATACACTTCATCACCTCGCACATGTAAGACTGCTCTACAGCATCTGCTGGCTACTGGTGGAAGGGATGGACAATGGGAGACCCACAAGGTAAGTTGTGACAGCATCAACAACATCCTTTACTGAACTCTCAGTATCTCCCATTCCCTCATCCTCACCTGCCCAGCGCTGCCCACTCGCTTGTATGCTCAACCCCATCTCAGTCACTACACATAGCTGGTCATAGAGTAATATACAGTATAGTAGCATTAGAACAAGTAGTACAGATCTTGTAAATAGCTTTTAGTACTCTAATTGAATATTATTTACATTTATTATCAGAATTCAAGACATATAAGAGATATTCACAGTATCTGAGGCACACAAATAGATCTCTTGGAAGCACTGCTGGGCCCTGAGGGTACCCTGAGGATCTCTGAGGACCAAACCAAGCATGCAGGATGAACTCTAAGGATCCCTGGTGTCTCTGGATCTCTGGATCCTTCAGATACCTCAGAGCAGTCTGGAGCTCTCTAGAGGACAAAGTCATTTTCTTGATGTAAGCTGGCCCTGACATATTGAGCTTCAGACTTGGCCCCAGTTCAGCCCCAGGAGAGCAGTTCCACATATTGAGGACCCTTTTTGCAGCCATGGCAGCACAAATTCACAATTCAAAGCTTCCAAATGCATTGAGGTCCATAATCAGCTTAAAGCTTGGACTACAATGCAAACAGAGGATCACTACTGCCCTGAGAAATGTGGAGAGCATTCAATAGGTCAAATAAAATTTTATTGGCATTTTATAGTGATTTAATACAGCAATGTTGCACCCTCAAAGTGCTCAAGGATGGTCAAAGCTGTTGAGATTGGCCGTGGGACAAACAATTGCCAAGATCACTGAATCCACAATCTGCCAGCCGCTCTATCGCTTCAGGTTCCCTTAGATGAGTTTACCATTATTTATATTTTGATAAGATGTCAGTCTGATAAGATAATTCCTTCTATCCATCCTCCCCCCTCTAGAAAGCTGCCTGTAAGCAATACGAGCAGCTGGTTTTAGGAGCCTGAGAGCACATCAGCTCTATTTTACAACCTGGACACCTTTTCACATTGAGTTTGTCTCTGCTTGGACTGTTCCATATGATCAAGCAAGACCAAACTTTTTGTACAACCTGGAAGGTCGTTTCACATTGAGTTTGTCTCTGCTTGTAGTACTATGTGTGATCAAACAATAACAACTGTTTTGACCTGGATGGATGGCCTTTCCTTGCACTTTTTGCCTCGCCCCTGCCCTGTCGTCTTTGGTGGAAGTATGGCAGAAACTGGAGCTGGGGAGGGAGAGACAATGCCACAAAAGCGAGGCAGCAACATGGTGAAGAATTGATGCAACAAAGTAGGGCATCGCTGCTGGGTTTGTGCTGCTCATGTTCTTCACATTGCTGTACAATATGTTTTGGTCTTGCAGCTGCCTGAAATCCCCCCCCTACTATCTCTTTTCTATCATGGCACATTATTTGTACTCTCTGCAACCTGATAGATACCATCCCATTGTCTGTTCTCCTCAGCTGTTCCTCCAGATAGGTCCTTCAGCAAGGTGTATGTCGATGGAGTCAACCCTCAGGCTTTATGTCAAAATGTGATTCATAATGTGTATGCAACCCAGAATACTGCTGCTGCTCACAATAGCAAAGATTGAATACTGTACAATTGAAATCAGGGACAAAACTAGAAGATCAAGTAGATACAATTGGGTGCAGGACAACTTGGAGATGGGGTCACGTTGCATAAGGACATTCATAAGTCAATGATGGTCTCTCCATTGACCTGCACATATGCATCAGGAGCCTGCTGTTTGAAAACAGATCTGATCATCTCTGCACTCTCCAACAGTCCATTGAACTGGATGTCCAAGTAACCAAGGTTGGTCCACACAATGGGCAACCACAATAAGGGCTGCATGGGCCTGTTGAGATTGGCTTGGATGTCGAGCTCTAACTTGCATAGGTTCAGCAAGGAGAGGGCATCAAAGAAGGGGTTGAAGTTGACAGATCCAGCCACCTTCAAGGAATCCAAGGTGGGAAGGGTGAGAGGTGGCAGGACCTCAGTGATTGAGACATCCTTGCTCTTGTATAAGGGCAGGAGAGTCGGGATGCAATCACTGACAGAGGTGAGCTCTAGGGTATGCAAGGAGAGCTTGGAGCTGGGGTACTTGCACAGGAGGAGATTTGCATTGTCGATGCTGATGTTGCTGTTAATTTTCAAGATCTGTACATTCTTGGCATCCAAAGAGATTACAAGGGCAGCCAAGATGTTGACGTTACCACTGCATGAAAGAGTATGAAGATTAAGTAGGGAATTAGCAGATCCATGCTTGATGATAGCTGTGTCGAGGGCCTTTGTTGAAAGAACGAAATCCTCTGGCATCACAATGTCAATCTGCTCAATTGTTTGGTTGTGGTTAGCCCTGACCCACTCCAAGAGCCATGAAACAAACTGGAGCTGGTGCTCCATCTCCTTGAGATGCTCGTAGCCATTGACAGAGTGGGTGATGGTGACAGAAAGGTTGAAGATGTAGTTGTTTGCAAGCCACACATCAGTCTGACCAGCATTGTTGACTACAGCCTCTGTCATGTCAGAGAAAATGAGCACTGAGAGCTTCTCAGTATACACATCGAAATGAATATGGGATTTGGAAAGAACACTCAGGAGAGTGGCTGGGATTTGGGATTTGAAGATACTTTTCAGAGTCAGAAGGTTGGCTTCGGTTGACCCCAGATCTAGTTGAGTCTCATGCATTGGCGCAAACAGGACAGACGAGGACAAGTCAGAATCGCTATCGCTGTCAGAAGATTCATATTCAAGATTGGAGAGATCCATGAAACCAGAGGACGAAACCCAGTAGATCTCGCCATTTTCTCACACTTGAGGGAATAAACCAGGTGAGGACCAGTCACCTTCAGGGCCAAAGTCCAATGGAGTATCGTTGCATTGCCTGTCAAGGAGAGCCACCACATGCTCAAAGGGAGACACAGGTGGGAGAGGAATGATATCCAATGGACGACGAGTGAGCAGGAGCTGCTTGTCTGACTCAAAGAAATATTCGCTGTGGGCAGGAGTCTTGCTAACATTTTGACAGTCTGACACCTCAAAGGGCAAGGTTGTTGGGATCAGCTTGGGGGTCAAGCCACGGTTGGCAATGGAGGTGAGTGAAAACTGGCCAGCATTGTTGATACTAGTTTTGGACAACATGGATGACAACGGAGACAGCAGACATTCTTCAACCTTGGAATAAGTCTGCTGGAAACCTAGAGGTACCACAGGACTCTTGAGTGAGGAGAGGGGGGTGAGTAGATTGGTGTTAATGGGCACCAGTATAGGCATTTTGAAGTGCTATGGGGGGTGGGGTGAGTGGCGAGGTAAGAACTACAGATAAAAGAGGGCCAACCTGGAGGGAATTGGGTAATTAGAGTGGGACTGGGGGTTGCTGTGGAGAAGTTGATGTGGGCCTGAAGAGGGAGGGAGAATTGTTGACACAGCACCACAGAGGCTTATATAGAGCTAGGGAATGGCACAGGTAGAGCAACCCATGCAGGTAAACCCACGGGTTGCTCTGGGGTACAGGTACGGGTTGGAATTTTTCGACCCAAGCCCAACTCATGGCACAGGTACCAGGGGTTCGGCCGAGTTTTCAGCCGAGTTTTTAAACTCAGCTGACGAGCATCATCCTTGTCTCTCTCATTCTGCTAGCAACACAAAATTAGTGCTCAGCACTTGCCACCAACACATAAAGGCCTCGCACATGTAAGACAATCCCACAGTGACCACTGAGCACCCAGGGGAGGAGCATATAAGGGGAGACCCAGCGAGGGGAGACCCACTAGATGAGCCATGACCGCCCTGATACACCCTTCACCTCCTGACTCTCAGCCTCGTCGGCGCCACGACAGATGCTCCGTGGCTGCGCTGGGCCTTTGCCACCTCGCTGTTGCATGCACAGGTCAACAGTGTTCTGCGCCTTTGTGCTCAACATCAACTCCGGCATGCCATGTCTCAGTGACACATCACGAATATGAACACGAGCCCCTCGCTGTGTGTTATACACACAACAAAGATAAAGAGCACCCTTACTGTCGTTTGTACACCCAACCCTGCCATCACCTTGTTGGGAATGGGTAACCGCCCGAAAGGGCATTGCCAGGATGCTGAGATAGGGGGAGACAGGGGCTCCAAATTATATATATATTTCGTGTCCGTAGATGCAAAACACAGTTGCTTTCATATCTCTACAGGTTATGGGCCCCGCTCGCTGCCTGCTCTGAACACCAATCGTGCTCTATACCCTCAAACTGAACTTGAAAGCCTCTGACCGTACTGGAGCACTGGAAGCCCTTGACTGTACTGAGGCATCAAACTGAAAGTCTCTGACTGTACTGGAGCACCAGAAGCCCTCAGCCATACTGAGGCAACGAACCGACATCGAATTGACACCCAAACCAAATAACCCATGGCCAAGAAGCAATTCACAAAGCTGAACAACGAGAATTACAATGCATGGGAGTTTGAGATGAGGGCTGTGTTGAAGAAGAAGGGCGTGTGGTCCATCGCATTGGGGGAGGAAACCCGTCCGGTTGGATCGCTGAACCACAACGCTGTGAAGAGCTGGGTAAAGAGGAGGGACATCGCCGCTGGAGAGATCATTGAGAGGCTTGACCCGGGGCAGTTTGCTCATGTCTGAAGCCATGAAGATGACCCCGCCGAGATGTGGAGCCACCTCGAGAAGTTTCACATGGCTTTGGGACTCAGGAGTCTCATTGCGATCTGGCGCAAATTTACCTGGATCACCAAGGCGGACAACACACCGATCCATGTGCACATCACCGAAATCCGCACCATGGCCGATTGCCTTTCTTGACTTGGCGACAAGCCGTCCAACACACTTACCATTGTGACCCTTCTTGGATCGCTGCCAAAGACCTACCACCCTCTCGTCGTCGCGCTGGATGCCCATCCTGAAGCTGGAGACCTTGACTTTGTGATTGGCCTTGTCCTCAACGAAGCTGTCACATTGGAACACTTCAACCCTGACATGCCATCTATTGTTTCACCTGGACATGAGTCTACAGCACTGAAGATCGATGTCCGCAATATTACTTGCCACAATTGCAGCATCCTCAGACACTTTGCATCCAATTGCCAGAAGCTGCTGAACCCATATGCCAAGCCAACCAAGCCGTGGGATGCAATGAAGGTGCTGGCTGACTGGGACCGCCCGAATGCCACTATGGCCATCATCGAAATTGCTTACACGCTGTAGGGGAGTTGTTAGAACCAGGGGAGCGCTGCCTTTTGGCCGCTTAGGGGGAGTGTTGTGAATGGGTAACCACCCGAAAGGGCATTGCCAGGATGCTGAGATAGGAGGAGACAGGGGCTCCAAATTATATATATATTTCGTGTCCGTAGATACAAAACGCAGTTGCTTTCGTATCTCTACACACCTACGTGCCATGGGCTGCACCCATAGTCACCGCCCTCGACGAACCAACAACCCACCATTTTGCAAATCGGGCGACATGTACACAATCCGTGAAGGCAATTTCCTGCCGATTGCCCATCTTGATGCCCATGTTATGAGTACTTCACCCTCACAAATGTCCATTGCAACGTCATTTGATGTCTGCGATGCTTTTGCGAGGCAATCCCCTCATCTACATGCCATTCTAACCCCAATCAGTAATCAACCCATACGATGAACCCGTCAACCCGTCCCAACCCTTGACCCGTACCCGCGAAAAACCTGTACCCGTGGGTGCGGGTGCGGGTTTTTGCGGGTATGGGTATGGGTTTCCCTGGAATACCCCAAGGTTACCCGTGCCATTCCCTAATATAATACTATGCCGTCCTGGGAGTTTGAAACTTTTTGAATGACGAACATGTTGCTCAACAACGACTTGCTTATGCAACCTCAAATCTAGCACAATTGTCATAAATCATCTTCGCTCCGTGAATATATTTTTATTTAATTTTTAAGCAGAGAGGAAAGTGCACTGGAGGGCTCACAACGGTGGGGTGTCCAGGATTCTGGGAGTTTGAAAAGTATGTCACACATTCATCACGCCCATCAACAGCCAAATCGACGGCGTTGACAACCGATCCTCCTGCCAAAATTGTCACACTCCCGGAGGTGGGATCATGTATTCTGCACATTCCTCCACGGCGTGCTCTTCATTCTTCCCAGAATTTTATGAAAGACATTCAGTGTATGCCTTAAATGTGTTGACAGAATTTCAGAAGTGTTGGCCATTGGGATCGGGCAGGATCTGGGCTGACATTCGCATACATGGGTCATTTTGATGACATCAAAACCACTGTTTTAAATCTGGTGGCCCTCAGAGGGAACGCCATCCTACGAAATTTCGAAGAGCCATTAGAAATTGCCTTGGATGCATACATAAAAAATTAGAAGTCAAGAGCGCAAAAAATGGAGGCTCGAGACTGGAATTTCAAACTCCTGGGACTTTCAAAACTCCCGGAATGGCATAGTAGAGCCTGTGGCCCAGCAGGTCAATGTGGCCTCGGCCGGAGCAGAGGGTCGCAATGGGAGAACAACAAGCCGGATGTTTGTCCAATTGGCATGCCAGGAAATGAAATCCTCATCACGCTTTGGTGAGAGCGAGAACAAGAACTTGAAGAAGGAAGAATAAGCGTCGCTGTGATGAGCGCAAGGGAGTCAAAGCTTGTTCAGAGTGCTGTCAGAAAAACAATAGACAACCTCATTAGGGTGACCATCCATGAGTCTCAACGGCCATAGTGAAGCCTATTATGATGACTTCATGATCAAGGATCGTGATATCATCAGCAAACCCTGATTTTTTGAGGCCGAAAACGTCGAAATTGGGCATCTATGCAGAGCTGCACGGTGCTACACAGCACTCCATAGAGCCATAGTAAGGGTTCTCTTCTGCATAGCAACAGCGGTCGATTACATCAACCTATGGAGCACCGTGTAGCACCATGTAGCACCCACGGAAAAATCAGGTTTTGCTGATGATGTAAGCTGCATCAGAACTGTGATTCGAATTGTTGTCCTCTCTGCTGATTACCGGTCTCCGCATCAGAATGGAGAAACGAGATGTCTTATCTATGAGGTAGGGTAGGATTGGCGGAGCTCTTCTAGCTTTATGTGTTACACACCAGCAAAAGTGTTTCGAATAGACGACGATGGCGGTTTCGGAAGACATGGTTGTATTACATAATGTGCGGCATCTGAACTTGGACAGTCGGTCGCAGGAGTCAAGCTCTAGTGCTCCTACTATGCTCAAGCATCATCCATATTCTCATTATACGATGGAGATCTTCGATTTTCCTCATCTCAAGACAAAAGCATACCTAATGCTTTTCAGCAAGGTAACCAATGCAGCAGCACTGAAGTCGCGGATTGTGGCAGCTTCAACAGCAGAAGGAGAAGTCGGAGAACAAGAACGGGAAGCGGTTAACTTTGCCTTCATCGACGCTCGTTTAGTGCGCTCAGTTTTTCCTTGGTGTTGGCGTATATTTAACTTTGAAGTGCAGTAGATAACGAGCAAGTTACATCTAGAAACTGCAATCTACCAGGCCATCCTGGCAGAGTGTCAGGATGGGCTTCGAACACGGACCGTTCATTCTGAGATTCTCTACTATCTGAACCCGACACACAACGTTAGTTGTCTTTTTACTTACCAATCGTGTTTTGACGTTGTCAACCAGATCACCGAAGCCATCCGGCGTTACGGTGTTTCTGGAGAGAACAACGACATCTTCGTCGTACGCGTCGGCTCTTTAGAATTGGCACCAACGGTAGAGTCCAAGATGAAAGCCGTTGTTACTGGGACTATCGTGCCCGAAGCAGAGTTGCAGCATATAACAGACTGGCCATCCATAAAAAAGGTCTTTTTCATTCTATTCTCCTTCAAACACCTCACAGATGGTCATTCTTAGTATCATAAACTTAATGGTGAGATCGCAATCAAGGAAGCTGGTCAAGACTCGCAGAAGGAACATGCTATTGTCGATAAAATCGTTATCAGTTCTGTTGCGATGAAAAGCGTCGTGCAGTGAACGCTATCGATGCCCATCGAGGTGTCAGACAGGGGATATGATAGTTCTTGGTGTACTCCCATGACTCGACCGCTACAGACGATGGGGCACGTTCCCCGCAGAATTATGTAAAGTTCCTGCAAGTCGACCTCATTTCTTGATGACTCGCGCTAGCGTAAGAGCGCGATTTCCCAGATTGAGTCAACGTCGGCGCACTCTTGACTAGCTCATCACGAAAGGCAGGGGTAAATCAGCGGTGCCGGGGCGGGGTGGACGAATATAGCAAATCTCCGCCAGGCACCTTGATAGCGATCAGTGCCCAGTCAAGCGAATCCCCACCGATCGCCGTGCGACAGCTGTCCGGACATTCAGGGTTCCGCCACCCACATCCTTAAATACCGACAGCTGTTCAGGATGGAAATTCCAACAAAATGCAACCAACTCCTGAAATCCAAGCTTTCATCGATCGCATTAGCGCATTACCCGCTGGCCCTGGCGTGTCTCTTGATGGTGTCTTGCAGCCTTCTCTCGACGAGGAGGCCGAATTGAGGAAGCTCTTTGCGCAAGATAGGCAAAGCACGCGTCTTGCCAATCCTCATGTCGGTCTGGTCGACGTGTTTAAGGCCCCCGACACGATCAGGACCACCAGAGCACGCGTCGTCCAAGGCCCTGAAGACCTCGTGGCGAAGTATGTCATGCCTCTCTCCGAAGAAAACAGGAAGAAGGAAGGCGCGCCTTGCATGGTATCTGACCTCGAAGAGTTCAAGAAGAACTGGGCGATTTTCACGGAAGGCTCCCTCTCTCAGCTTCTTGATTGGAACAACGTCGTCGCCGCTGGAGGATCTGTACTCGCATGTTTGGCCCCTCTCGATGAGGAGCACAAGAAGTCGAAGAGGGCGATTCGGAAGTACTACCACAACAAGGCGTACCCTACCTCTGACGTCGACCTTTTTTTATGGGGTTTGAACAACGAACAGGTGAGTACGCTCTCCAATGTCTCACAGAATGACCTACCATCCTCCATTAGGCCGAGGCTAAGATCAAGACCATCTATGAAGCTGTTCGCGACTCTGTTCCTTGGGATGTTACCTGTATCCGCACCAAACATACCATTTCCATCCATTGTATGCATCTTCATTACTTTGATTATTGCCAACTAACTCTTTCTCAGCCCAATACCCGTATCGCTCGGTCCAAATTGTCCTTCGGCTCTACCAATCTCCTGCTGAAATCCTTGCTGGTTTCGACATCGATGCCCCATGTTGTGCCTACGACGGAAGCCGTGTCTGGGCCAATCCTCGCTCAATCGTGGCCATGATGCGTCAGTGCAACACCGTCGACGTCACGCGCCGTTCCCCTTCGTATGAAGTCCGACTCTCCAAGTACTCTAATCGCGCTTTCGAGGTGTACGTCCCAACCCTGGTCCGTGGGGAGATAGACCCCACCATCTACGAACGGTCTATCGTGAAGATGGAGGGTCTTGCAAGGCTGCTTGTTCTGGAGAAACTGAAGGATAACGATATGCGCACCACCTTTTTGCAAGGAAGGAGAACCCTCCGCGGACGCCCAGGTGGTGTCAGCACGTATAGCCGTCGCAACAAACGCCATTACAAAGGGGATTTGAAGACGGAGGTTGACCTTGGATTGGAGATGAATGATTACGATGTCGTTCAGCTGCATATTCCTTATGGACCTGGCTGGGATGCTCGAAGGATTGAAAAACTCGTTTATCAAACCGTAAGTTTCTCTAGATTCGTGATTTCTGCAATCGTCACAGTAAGCGCTCTTTTTAGGACCTTGGCATGAACTGTAAGCATATGTTTCACCACAATGTTTCTCGACTTCAAAGCCCTTTCCCCAGCGACCTTCAATCCAAAGAATAAAGGACGTCGTCTCCATCGCCACCCCGCCTTCTTTGGCACGATTGAAGAATGTATCGAAGATTGTTGCGAGGTTCGTTGGAAGTTCACCTTCCTATGACTGACTCCTAATTTTGAATATTCCAGAATTGCCCTAAACCGATCGATGAAGACGAGCGCAAACTTCAAGTCGACGAAGATGAGAAATACATCTCGGGTCGTCTGAAGTCAGTCTTCTTTATTATGTTGGCTTCCAATTTTTTCTTTACCAATCTCCTCCCATGCATAGGTTCATCCAGGAGAATCCGGGTCGTCAAAGTATGACCGGTAGTTTCAACCCCATCGATGTAGGGGAATGGAGTGAGCAAGTATACACGAAACCCACCGAGAAGTTCTTCACCGCCATTGCCGCACACGACCGCGCTGCTGTCCAAAAGCTTCTGGGCACCGAAGGTGTGGATGTCAACCAACGTGACCACGTCGGTCGGACCTCTCTTCATGTTGCCATCTTCGCCAAGGCTGAGGAGATTGCCTGCGATCTCATCGATGCTGGGGCTCGAATTACTGCAAGAGTCGCTGACGGACGGACCCCCTTGCATCTCGCTGCTCGCTATAGTCAAATTACTGTCATCCGGAAGCTTTTTGCGCAGAACGAGAAGAACATCAAAGAGGAGGCAAAGAAGCAGACAAATGGTGATGGGAGCAAGGACGAGGCCATGGACACGAAAGAAGGTCTCGAACGCCCTTCCTCTGAAGATGACTGGAGTTCGCACACAGACGACGACATCGAAATGGTTGACGCAGAGGACGGCGATGACGAAGAGGACGAGGAGGATGAGGATGGGGATGAGGATGGGGACGAGGATAGCGATGGAGAGCCCCGAAGGTCCTCGAGGAAGAAGGCTGCTGCGGACGGAGAGGTGCAGGCACGGACCAACGCAGAAGCTATCGCGGAAGACGAAGAGAATCAACCGGACATCATCGACATCAACATCGACGACTGGGACTTCGGTTTTCCTGCACTTTGCTATGCCGTTCTTTATGGCTCGTCGGTGACCGTGGAGGCCCTCCTCGACGCCGGTGCAGACGCAAAGCTCGCAACCAAACCTTCGATGACCTGGAGCCTGCCAACATTGCACCCCCTTTCAATGCTTATTCTTAGAGGCGACGACGAAGAAGTGTGCAAGATTGCAGAGCGCCTCCTCCAGGCAGGAGCCACGTCCTCGACAGCCAACGATGAAATGCGAACAATATTCCATTATGCGCTTCAGGCTGGACGAACGAGACTCGTAGAGACGATACTTCGGTGCGATCCACATGCGAAGACGGTCATCGATTTCCCCTCTGTCCAGTACCAGAATGTCGTTTTCCCGATAGGAAGTGCCATTAGGAAGATGGAGTACGCCTCTGTTGCGATCATGCTTGCTCATGGTGCAAAGCTAGAATACGACGAAGCGGATATTACCCGCGCCAGTGAGGCTGCGTAGGTGTTCACCTTTGTTCTTTCTCAGGATGCATTCTGATATGCATTCTTTCCCTCTCCAGACCGCCTAACGTCAGACGCAACATGTTTGGCTATCAAGAAGTCAAAAACTACTTGGATCTTGCGTATCAACCTGTTGAAGTTGCCTTGCAGTATCACAGCGAAATCGCCAATCTGCTTATCACCCTCGGTGCTCCGGTTAATTTCCCCCTTAAGCGCTCTTTGTATCGATATGCAAACGATAACGAGCGCAGGTCTTTAAAGGATTGGGTCGACTTCGCCATCAGCTCTCTCCACGAGAACATCAGGAAGAAGAAGTTCGAAGAGCTTATCTTCGTCGAGAAGAAGGACGCTGAACCCGAACCCGAACCAGAGGCCGCCGGATGGGCTGGATTCATTAAGAAGTACGATGCTGGGCTCACAGATCCCGACCGAGAAAAGTGGGAGTTTAAGAACAAAGAAAAGGCCGCCAAACAGGACAGAGACCTGCGCGAACGGATGGAAGATATCAAGGAATTCCTTATCGAAATCCAGCAGCTGCTGAACCAGAAACATGCGAAGAAGTGGTCGGATCTCTACCCTGACATCCCAACTGCTGCCATTATGGAGGTGAGGCCTTACACGCTCGAAGATATCATGCCAAAGCAGTCCAAAGATGAAGAGGAACGTTTGTATGTCCTCGTTTCTGCTGGATGGTCGGACCAAAATGTTCCGCAGCACCTTCATCCACAATACGACGAGGTCTACGAGGCGTGCTACGCCGGTGATAACGATAAGATTCAGAAGATGTGCCTTCCCGTTCCCGGACAGGAGTCAGTACCTGGAGCCCTTAACCCGCTCAACATTTCGGTCAAACTCAAAGACAGGAAGCATAGTTCAGAAGGTCATTACATTTTCCTCATCCTTCGTTGATTTCTAACTAAAGCAACCATTTTCAGGATATACACCGCTTTTTGCAGCTATTGCTGGGCGTCGCTGGTCGACGGCAAGGCTTGTTCTCGCCATCGCGACCGCTCAATATCAGCCGGATAATGATGCAGAGAAGATCAAGTGGGACAACGACGTCGACATGGGTATGATCCTCCAACCAGAATTGTTGCGCCATCAACTAACCTCCTGCCTCAGATGACGATTCGGATAACGATAGTTGCAACTCTGATGGCTCAGACGAGACTGTTGAACGACAAGAGGTGAAATTCGTCGATATTGCAACAAGGCCTTCCGCAGTCCAGTCGGATGTACACCCCAAGAAGCTTTTACAGCAGCTTAGGGTGCCGTTCTGCAAGCCTCCCCGTACCTCAGAGGACCGGAAACATGCTGGGCATGTGACCCTTATCCAAAAGGCTGTAGTCGATAACGACCTCGAAGCCTTTGTGCAAACTGCCAAGCTCTATGACTCCCTCCCTCAACCACTCACACTCGGCACCGCCGTTCTGCAGACGATCCTCGAGTACGATCGACCTGAGATCCTTGACGAGTACCTCCGACGCACGGGTGTGGGTATTGACGTTGGTGAAGCCCAGAAGGAGTCTGGTGATACCGAGCCAATCCAAGAGTCGACCAACGACGAAAATCGAATTTACCTTGGCTTGAACGTGCACGGCAAGAAACGTGCTGATCTGGCAAGGAAGAACGACCCGAACGCTGGAGAAGCAGAGGAAAAGGAACCTCCTCTCGTTTGGCGAGCTGCGGAGCAAAAAGCCAAGGAGGTTGTGTCATACCTTGCCTCTGATCGACCTCTGGCTGCATATAGGCACTATGCCTTAAACCACACCGGCGCCAAAGCCATTTGGTTCAAGCGGATTGGCACAGAGGAAGGAGGCGAACTGGAAAAGCGACTTCCCTCGTGGCTTGGGTGGACGATTAACACCTTGGGCGAGTCTCCGTTGACCTCTGCAATCATTGGAGGTAGTGTCGACGTCATGAAGCAAATCGCGAAGATTCAGCCGAAGCTGTTCGCACAGGCATTACAGACTAAGTACGTGGTTTCGTGCCTTGCTCCCGAGGTCGGATTCTCACTGGCACCGTCGATTTCTCTTCAGCATCAAATTTATTGGTCTCAACCCATTGTTGTTGTTCGTTCGCATTTCCAAACTCTTCGAGAACCGTGCTCCGAAGGTTATCAATGATGTCGTCGACTTCCTCCTTTCCAAGAAAGTCTCACCGTTGGAAAAGGATTCAGTCAGAGGGTACGTGTTGAATCTCTTGCTCTTCCATCCTTTTCCTGATCACCTTTCCAGATGGAACATCTATCACTTTATTTGTGCTAAGAATGACATCGATCTGTTTGAACATCTCCTGCAGAAGCTTCCCCGCGACGTCAACGAGACTTTACTGTTACAGAAATCGAAAATACGGCACAATACCGTCAGTTCTTGACGGCATGTTTACCTTTGATAAATGCTGATCCCCTAATCCTACAGCCACTTCATGTTGCCATCAAGAACAAGTTCAAGACACTTGTTAAGATGATACTCGAATACAGCACCGAAACTCTGCTCGTTCCAGACATAGACGGACAGACACCCCTGCACTGTGCCGTCGCAGGCTCATACCCAACTATAACCAAAGTGATTCTTGCGTACTGCCCACCGGAAGTCATCCACGTCGAAAACGGCGTCGGCAACACTCCCTTGGAGATAGCTACTCTGGCTTCACTCGTCAAGAAGGTGTCGAACTACCGCCAGAGCAACATCCAGAGCGAGATTCAGCCGAATAGGATCCCGGATTCTCCCCGACCTCTCCCAATCGACTTCCTCGACGACATCGAATTCCAACTTGGGGTCGTACGCGAGGCCCTAGACACCATGGTTGACCGCGGTACTGTCAATCAGGAGCGCAAAGACCAGATCAAGACGGAGTTTAGGAGATGGCTCGAGATTATGGACAAACGTGTCGAGAAGGTGAAAGCACTCAGGGAGAAGAAAGAGCAGGAAGAACGCGAAGAGAAGGAAGAGCAGGCGAAGCAGAACTATGTACCTGGGTCGTACCTCTACGTCAAGCCAGACAAATTCAGCACGGACGGGGTGGACGCGGAGGACGTGTGCGAGCTGGTCCTCAAATTTGAGAAGAAACATGGTTCCGAGCCTGCTCAGCGGCGCCTCGTCCACCTCCTCGATGTGCAAGAGTCTATTGGCGCGATGCTCAAGCAGGCGGACCCCAAGCGCGAAGGGCGTGAGGATCAGTTCGAACTTGGCTCTGACAGGTACTACTATCACAGGCGTAAAGAGATGGAGGAGCTTGAAGCGGAGGAGAGTCCGGAGCAGAAGCTGAGGAAGGCGAGCAGGGTCATCCAGAACATCCAATACTTCAAAGATCCTATCTAATCCGCCTAGCCCTCCTCGAACCGATGCTTTCCATGAAATTCCTGTGATATTTGTACAACAGTAATGTCCATTGATTGTAATTTGTTGTCTTCATGCTGTCCTAGTTCTCATTCTCATTGAGTGAAGGAATCCTGAGGTGTGTGTTGAGAAAGCAAAGGAAATTGATTCGACAGTAAAAAAAATCGAAGTACAAAGAAAGGCTCTTATTTCTTCTTCACCCCACCCTTATCATCTTGCTCCTCCTGCGGTCGCATACTCATTTCAATAGCCCTCGCAATAGCCGCATCCTCGTCCTCTTCGTCTTCCTCGTCCTCATCCTCGTCGTCCATCTCGACGTCCCCATCCTCGTCTTCGTCCTCGTCGTCATCTCCTTCCTGTGCTTTTGATAGGCGGAGTGCTTCTTGCAGCTCAGCATCGTCGTCGTCGTCTATTGGCTCAGCCGTCGATAGTACTACAGCAGGAGCAGCTGGGACTCCTGAGGGAGGTGCTGGTGTAGAGGACGTTTCTGCTTGAGCTGAAGAAGACGATGCCGCTGCCTCTGCTGCCTCGCGAGCTTGTGCCTCCTGCATCGACATGCGTAGGGCCTGTTTACGTTCGGTCAAGCTTGGGATTCACTGAGAGATAGACATAAGCGTACCATGGCCAATTCGGGATCCAGACTGGGGTCGACACCAAACTCGAAGTCGTTTGCCGTCGATCCTCCCGCGGCAGGTCCGGCACCAGTACCTCCGAATGCTTCTGGGATGCTGGCACTCCTGTCGGCAGAGAGAATGGGCGAGGCGATGAGGGCATCTGATAGCAGGTGGGAGCCGGGATGTACAGTGAGAAGGTGCCTGCAACATAAGGAAAAGAGGAAGTTAATAATGTCATCATGTCTCGAACAAAAAGGACGTACGAATTGTCGCTGTTGTTAATGTTGTCCACGAATGATTTGAGAACCTGCTGCCCTTCACCCTCACCCTCCTCGATGCCATCACCAAACGCGACGATGTCTACTGCGACGTTGTTCTTCTTGAGCTTCTTCGCGAGTTTGATCATCGACTTTTCGTCACCACCCTCAGTCTCGCCCGGAGGTGAGGCTACAAACACGACGATCCGCTGACGGAGGTTCTTGTTCTCGCGGTGCTTCAGTGCGAGCTGGGCGACGGCAAGCGCGGTCGGGATGTCGATCTCGCCGTCGATCTTAGACGCGGCTTTGTGCACCCCGCCGATGATCTGCCCAAGATCCTTCGTATGCGTTACGAGCACTTCAGGACTATTTTTTAGAAACAGAGAGAAAAACTCGTTAGGTAAATGTTCGTGAATTGTCGACAAAGGAAGAGAACACACGCTTTCCCTGCCATAGTCATGACCCCAACCGTGTTCTCCGGATTTGCATCGATCTTCGTCTGGAAAAGGACATTCACGGCGTCTGCCTGAGCTTCAAACCGCGTAGGTTGGTAGTCGCCATTCCGCATGTACTCGGAATTGTCGATGATGATCATAGTCGCCTCGAGCGGCATGTTGGATGTGCAGTTGGGTGTATAATGGGGATCGTTTGGTGGGTAATTTCACAGGTAGAGAGAACGTCTGGGTCGCAATCTATACGGCGCGATTAGAAGGTGGACTCGGAAGTACTTCGCCCAAAGTTTTGGGAGGAGTTACGGGACACGGAATCTGAACAGGTTGAAAGGCTTTGAAAGGCTGACGCGTCGAGGGACGCGATTTCCGTGTTTGGTGTTGCTTGCGGAGATAAGATTAGATCTCCTCGACTTGACGTGTTGTAACATTTCCGCGACATACTTAAGTTTGACTTAAGTGCCCTATTATTACTAAAGTGAAGACTTCAAGAAGAGTGCTTTATTAACTACGTTGCATACACAACTTCAAGTCTTCAACAGGGTCACCAGGACCACATATTCCACACCTTATGGAACAGCCTTGAGTATTGGCAGGGTTTGTGAGGACCCGGGAAGCTCTTGGCGATTTGAGGCCAAATTTTGGTAAATCTCTGTCCAGAAATTGCGGATCTGAGGGGACTTTTTCGCAGACCTCTGTCCCAAATTTGCAGATTTGAGGGCTCAAATTGCAGATTTG